ACAGGCCATCGTGGTGAGTGCATTACTTATTGTTTTGTCTGAAACAATTGTACCTGCTAATTCCAGGTCTTTCTAAAGCTCTCCATAAGTGGTCCTTGGCTCTTGGACATCTCTTCTGACCATTCTGTTCACTCTTCTTCAGAAATCTTGTGAGGAGCACCTGGTTATAGCCAGTTTATAGTAAAATTATGTTCTTTCCATTTCCAGATTATGGCCCCAACAGTGCTCACTGGAACATTCAGAAGATTAGAACTCCTTCTGTAACCAATGCCATCAGTATGTTTTGCAACAATAAGTTGCAAAGATCTCGAGAGAGCTCTTCGCTCTTACCCATCATGACATGTTTCTTGCGTGACACCTTGGTCATGAGGCCATCAGTTGAGACTGAACCAGCTGATATTAATTTGCACTGACAAGAGGCTGGATTGCTTTCTAATTACTGATAGATTTCAGCTGGTGTCTTGGCTTTCCATGCTTTTTTGCGCCTCCCTTTCTTCATGTGTTCTATACTTTTTCCCTGTGTCCTTCCATTTTATTACATATAACTTAGTTTCTGAACTATTTGTTTTGGTTTCTTTGTATGTATGGATTGCACGGGTTGTTACCGACATGTGGTGAACATTTCATGTCAATAGTACCTTTAGAAATATACACACGCACACACACACCAGTCAGCCATAACTTTATGACCACCCACCTAATATTGTGCCACCAAAACAGACCCATGGCGGTATGGACTCCACTAGAACTCTGAAGGTATGCTGTGGTATCTGGCACCAAGCTGTCCTTCGCAGATCCTTTAAAGGGTAACTCCAATTTTGTGGGGATAAAAAAATCAGCAAATTAAAAAAAATAATAATACAGCGTATACAACTGTGACTCAAGTCGGTGGGTGGGCCTTAATGCTTCTTACCGTACTGAGAGTTCGCTCCCTGCACACTCCCAGCATGGTAGCCAGCGGGGATCAGTAAAGATTGCATACTTGCAATCGGGATCTTTCCGATCACGTGACAGCCAATCACAGCGGTCACTTGACCCGAATGCCTGCCTCCGCCTCCTGGGTTTTAGAACCCTTAAAGGGCTGCGAGGTGGACAGCGCCAAAGGGTTAAAAATGACCTTTACTTTTCAATCCGCAGCGCTGTAATTTTCTGTAAAAAGCAATCTGGCTACAAATAGTGTACAGAACGCCCCCTGAAAATGATGATTATTATTATTATACAGGATTTATATAGCGCCAACAGTTTGCGCAGTGCTTTACAATATAAGGGGGGGACAGTACAGTTACAATACATTTCAGTACAGAAGGAATAGGAGGGCCCTGCTCATGGAGCTTACAATCTAAAGGGAGGGGGTGGTGGTACAAAATGGTGTAAGCTGCGGGGGATGACCTGGTGGAGGTGACTCAAGTACAGTTCTTAGGTGGAGGTGGAGTAGGCTTCCCTGAATAAATTTGTTTTCAAGCATTGTCTAAAGGCAGACAGGGCAGGAGCTAACCGGGCATACTGGGGCAGGGAGTTCCAGAGGATTGGAGAGGCTCTGGAGAAGTCCTGGATGTGAGAGGAGGTAACAAGGGAACTGGAGAGCAGGAGGTCCTGAGAGGAGTGGAGACGACGGTTTGGGTGATATCTGCAGAGGAGGTTGGTGATGTAGCTAGGGGCAATGTTGTGGATGGCTCTATATGTTGTGGTTAGTATTTTGAATTTTATATGTTGGGTTAGTGGAAGCCAATGGAGGGATTGGCAGAGAGGGGCAGCAGTTACGGATTGGTTAGTAAAGTGTAGAAGCCTGGCAGCAGCATTCATAATAGACTGAAGGAGGGATAGTCTTTGTAAGGGTGGGCCAGTGAGGAGGGAGTTGCAGTAATCAAGGCGGGATATAACCAAAGAGTGAATACGTTGTTTTGTGGTGTCGTTAGTCAGGAAGGGACGAATTCTGCAAATGTTGCGAAGGTTGAGGAGTCAAGATTTAGCCAGTGAGTGGATGTGGGGGCCAAAGGAGAGGTCAGGGTCTAGGATTACGCCTAGCACCCTGGCATGTGTGGAGGGACCAATGGTTGTGCTGTTGATCTCAGTGGTACAGTCATGGGGAGAGGATCGTGGAGGAGGAAATATTACAAGCTTAGTTTTAGAAGGATTGAGGAAGTGGTGTGACGTCCATCAGGGGCAGACTGACCATTCGAGTACTCGGGCACTGCCCGAGGGCCCAGGGTCAGTAGGGGGCCCCATGAAATACCCCTGGTACCTTTTATAGGCTTTTTTGGATGTGCTTTGAGTGTGGGCAAAGACACAGGGGCCCCATGATCCCCTATTGCCCGGAGGCCCCATAAGCTGTCAGTCCACCCCTGACGTCCATACTGATACGTTTGCTCAGTAAATTTGTGATACTCAAGGAGATTGAGGGGGTGAGTTGAGGAGTTGAATGATAGATGAGGGTGTCATCAGCCTAGAGGTGGTATTTGAAGCCATGGGAGGTTATCAACTGGCCCAGGGAATTGGTATGGTATAGAGAGAGAGAGAAGAGGAGGGGCCCAAGAACAGAGCCTTGGGGTACCCCAATTTATTTATTTCAGGTACTTATACAGTGCTGCCACTGTCACTTATACAGTGCTGTACATTCACATCAGTCCCTAACCCTCAAGGGGTGTACAATCTAAGGTCCCTAAGTTACATTAATTCATACACATACTAGGGACAATTAACCTACCAGCATGTCTTTGGAGTGTGGGAGGAAACCCACACAGGCACAACATGCAAACTCCAGGCAGGTGGTGCCCTGGTTGGGATTCAAACCAGCAATCCTAGTACTGCTAGGTGGAAATGCTAACCATTTAGCCACAGTGCTGCCAATGGAAAGAGGAGCGGAGGAGATGGTATTGTATGTGACACTAAAAGTGCACTGAGATAAATAGGAGAGGACATGGAGTTTGTTTAGGAGGAGCGGGTGGACAACTGTGTCAAAGGCAGCAGAAAGGTCTAGGAGTATGAGTATGGAGTATGAAAATATAATTTCCTGCTGGTGCGATTGGCTTACTGATTTCCCCAGAAGCATGCACTAAGATAAACGTTAGATTTTTGCCATCAACAATAAAGTCATTTTTGGTGAGATACTCCCAAAGGGAAATCACATCTAAAGGGATGCAGACCCTGCCACTTTCCTCATTAGTGCCCTGCAGGCTCAGAGTGGAGATGGAATAGAACCCCTGTCAGCTTTTATTGCTGTCTGTGCCCCATTAAGGAGTTTCTCCCTATTTGTCCTGTTACCCATTATCATCTAAAGTAAAAGTAAAAGAAAATCTTACATTTCGGGTTGTCCCCCAGAACAGGAGTAGCAGAGGAATCGTTCAATGGGGACACTAGTTCTTCTGACAACCAGGGATTCACTTTAGAGGGATTTTCTTTCACTTCCTGTTTTGGCTTTAGGACAGGAAGTGAAGGGAAATCTCCATGATAGGACACAGATGACAAAAAAAATAAACCTGACAAGTGGTATAACCCTCCATTACTCTATCCAAAATGAAAAAAGGCATGCCTTTTCCTCTACTTGAGCCTGTCAGTGGACATTAAGTGATGGTTGATTGGGGTGTATGTCAGGACAGCGGAATTTTGGTATTGAATACATTTCCAAGTTCTCTGACAACTTCATACACCCTACTGATGTGATTCTATGTAGGAAAGGAAATCAAAGCTATGTATTGAATCATTATTACTTCAGTCCATTTTGGACTCAAAATAAATCACATAAAACACCAGTTTCAATTACAACTCTGACGGGTGTACCAATATGGCGCCACCGCACCTCTCTTCCTTCAAGGCATGATGGCGCAGGGTGTAGCAATATGGCGTCTCCACGCCTCTCATCTCAGAGTGACCCCTGCTGGTGAAGCAAGATGGTGTCCAGAAGCTCCCAACATGACATAGAATAGCAGCGCCGGAAGTCCTGTGTTGCTGTGGGGAAGCCATGTGTGCTGTTGGTCGCATGTCCCGGGATTGAATGAGGCAGAGCCCGGAGAGGACGGGGTAGAAGAACATGGAGGGCCCCTCTGTGCAGTTTAAGACCAAGTAAGAGAATAACAGGGAGACTTACCTGCACTACACCGAGATTACAGCTAGAGGGCCCAATACCACCCCGACAGGAGGGAGGACTGTACATGGGGGGCATTGGGGATGTTGTGCCTGGGGGATGGTGCGCCTGGCTGCGCCCTGGGGATGTTGCGCACTGGGGACATTGCGCCTGGTGCGTGCTGGGGACATTGCGCCTGGTGCGTGCTGGGGACATTGCGCCTGGGGGACGGTGCGCCTTACTGTGCACTGGAGATGTTGTGCCCGGTGCGCCTGGCTGCGCGCTGGGAACTTTGCGCTTGGCTGCGTGCTGGGGATATTGCGCCTGGGGGACAGAGCGCCTGACTGCGCACTGGAGATGTTGTGCCCGGTGCGCCTGGCTGCGTGCTGGGGACTTTGCGCCTGGCTGTGCGCTGGGGACTTTGCGCCTGGCTGTGCGCTGGGGACTTTGCGCCTGGCTGTGCGCTGGGGACTTTGCGCCTGGCTGTGCGCTGGGGACTTTGCGCCTGGCTGCGCGCTGGGGACTTTGCGCCTGGCTGCGCGCTGGGGACTTTGCGCCTGGCTGCGCGCTGGGGACGTTGCGCCTGGGCTGCGCGCTGGGGATGTTGCGCCTGGCTGCGCGCTGTGGACGTTGCGCCTGGCTGCGCGCAGGGAATGGTATGCCTGGCTTTACACTGGTATGATGCACCTGGCTGCTCATCAGGAACAATGTACTTGACTGCACATCTGTCTGATGCACCTGGCTGCGCATCAGGAACGGTGCACCTGATTGCCCATCGAGAATGATGGACCTGGCTGTGCATCAGAAATGGTTCACCTGGCTGTGCATTAGGAATGGTGCACCTGGCTGTACATGCTGTAGATTGGGAATGATGATTTGTTCCCCCTCTAGGGGGATGGGTAGGAGTACCATTGCTCCCGTCACACAGCTGTATTCTATAATGAATGTGTTTCCATGTTTCAGTTATGCGGTGGAGAGGAGGATTGAAGCTTTCTACAAAGGTGGAAGAGTCCAGGTAATGGGTCCGTCTGTTTCTATGTGCTGGGACATTTACTTGTGGACTTTGGGCTGTTCTACGTTTACCAGTTATTTTGCTGTGACACATTTTCTTTTCCTTTCCCTTTCCAGATCAATAAAGACGGAACTCACCTCTTTTGTACTTGTGGAAATAAAGTTAATATTCTAGAAATTTCCACAGGAGTTATTGTCCGCTCTATAGAACAGGTAAGGCATGGGAATATTCACAAGGCTGGGTAGATGACGCGTCTGTAATGCATTAGGGAAAGGGCAGGTCGCCAACCTGGCTGTGCTGCCGGGCAGAGCTGTGTCAGTATCTGGACTGGTTGGACAGAAATATATATCTAGCATAGTACCAGTACACGTTTCAGTTGCGCATTTGCCTGGAGTTCAGAATTAAAATTCTATGAAACCCTTTCCAGCTGTCGGGAGATGACCCTTGAAAGTCTGAAATGCCAGCAATGTTATATGGGCTTGTGGTCACTGAGATTGGTTGTCACGTTGATTACGTGCTTGGCAGTCCATCTCGGGGGTCACTCTGCTGGAGACACCAAGTGAGCGCACTCCCAGCACAGACAAGGGATGTCGGGCTGTGTGCCTGTATGTGGCAACTCCGCAATAAATGCCACCGCCATGCTACTATGTATATGTGCATGGCTGGCATTAAGGGGTTACATTTTATATTCTCTTCTTTCTCTCCTCTCTCCTTCTCTCTCTCTCTCTCTCTCTTTCTCTCTTTCTCTCTCCCTCTCTCACTCCTGTCCCCCCCCCCCTCTCCCCCCTAGGCATTTTTGTCTTCCCTGTATTTTGTGCATTGTTGGATTTCCCAGATCTGAGGAGGGCTGCATCGCCACTTCTTTCCAGTTGGGTTGTGAAAAGATTGTGACCTTCTGGTTTCTGCAATGAGTGCCTCTACCTTTTTCTGAGCGCTGAAGTGTCAAGTTCCAATTCTTTTCTTTTACTGTATACTTTGAATAGTGACCATGTGTTTCTCTTTCTCAGGATGATCAGGAAGATATCACCTGCTTTGCACTTAGCCCAGATGATGAGGTAAGTCTTTTGCTCTAGGAAGGCACCGGATCTATAGGTATAAAGTGTACCTGTTGTATAGAATTGACTGATTAGTGTGAACAGTGCAGTTCTGTCTCCTACATACACAGCAAGCCCTTATAAACAGGGTTGTGTTTTGCACTAACTGTGTGTTACATCTTCTATATTCCCCATATACTAATCTGCATGAAGCCGCCATTATCCCGGCTGATAATATATTCTAGAATTTTTAAATGTGTGAGCATCAAATTTAGCGCCAAGACCATTCACACCTTCGAATTGCAGAAAATCATGTTGAAGTGTTACTGAACCCAGGACCCTGCATTCACTCTATCTGGTCTCCCCGGACCCTGCATTCACTATATCTGGTCTCCCCGGACCCTGCATTCACTATATCTGATCTCCCCGGACCCTGCATTCACTATATCTGATCTCCCAGGACCCTGCATTCACTATATCTGGTCTCCCAGGACCCTGCATTCACTATATCTGGTCTCCCAGGACCCTACATTCACTATATCTGGTCTCCCCGGACCCTACATTCACTATATCTGGTCTCCCCGGACCCTGCATTCACTATATCTGGTCTCCCCGGACCCTGCATTCACTATATCTGGTCTCCCCCGGACCCTGCATTCACTATATCTGGTCTCCCCAGACCCTGCATTCACTATATCTGGTCTCCCACAGTACACAGAACATGGAAATGCAATTATTTTAGTCAATATAAACTGCTAAATACCTTTTCTCATCAGCAGTATATAGCAGTCTTGTGACTTCTATCTGTGTTCAGTAGAGCACTGGTTAAAGCTTGTAGGAGTTTTCATTCTCTCCTGATTTTCCTATGAGGCTGCATAACCCCTGACCCCAGGGGTGTATTTACCAAAAGGCAAACAAGGCACTTGCCTAGGGCGGCATTTTCAGGGGGGCAGCACCTCCTCCAGAAGAATGGATGAAAGAATTGACACGCGCGTCATGGGAGCCAGGTGGGATCCTAGAGAGACTGCTTGATGGTCTATGTAGAGCTTGACTCTCGTTCCTGGGGATGTCTGTAGCTGTGAAGATGAGTATCTCTCTATTGTCGGGGGGGGGGAGGGGGTAGTGGAATGCTCTCCCAGCTGGGGGGCAGGGAGGTTGTTGGTCAGTGTCAGGCTCTCCCTGCGGGAGAGGGTAGGGGGGGGGGGGGGCTTGGTTGGTGTTCGTGGGGGCAACTGATTTTTGTGTTGCCTAGGACAGCACAAAATCTAAATACACTACTGCCTGTCCCTCTGTCTTGACAGTGCTGATTGGCCCTATGCTGATCACATGCACCCTCCCCCCCAAAATAAAAAACGCTCTGCAGAGTGACTCCTAGAATTCTGCACTGCAGCAGATGGATTGGGGACAGTAGATGAAGGGGAGAATCAGAGAAGACAGGATCAAACAGCCTTTTTACACAATGTGGAGGATTAACCCCTTGAGGTTCCACAGTTAGTATAACAAGCATTCTTTACTGCATATATAGACTGATTTTACTGTTGTGGGTTTAGTAACACTTAAAGTGTGTTGTGGTACGGTGCCATTCGTCATGCATGGTGCCCCAATGTACCTGGTAATAGAGCAAAGTATACTCATAGACACCAAATGAATGTTTTGCACTGTCTAATAGTACATACATCAAGGGAATCTAATAATAAAATAAATAAAACAATTCACGTGATAATTAATACATATTAAGAAAGAGCAGGGCCCTCAATCCCCTCATGTTTTGCATTGTATTGGTATTGTTCTGTCACATGTTCTGTCCCCCTTTGTAATGTACAGCACTGAGAGAACTATTGGCGCTTTATAAATACTGTATAATAATAATATATATATATAAATAAATCCACGATTCATAAGAATAACGCTCAGTGAATCAATAATCCTAAAACCGTTCATAGATAAGTGGAAAACCAATCACAGGCAGATGATAAAAGGATCAAGGTGCTTTATATGTGCACATGGAAATGCCAAGGAAAATCTCGTGCCTCCAATCTTCAGCAAAGTGTGTGCCACCAGGAGGGATATCGGGCTCACACTTTGAATATTGGAGGCATGAGATTTTCTTGACTATTTCCTGGCGTGCATTTAAAGCACCTTATTCCTTTCAGCACTTGCCTGTGATTTGATTTTCCACTTAACTTTGAACTTTTTAGGATTTTTTATTCCTTATTTGAGTGTTATTTTTATGAATTCTGGGTGTATTTATGTATTATGTGGATTGTTTTATGCACTTTATTATTAGATTCACTTGATGTATGTATCATTATACAGCACATTATATTGATATGTGTAGATACAGTGAGCGCTGCTGTCTTTGTTGGATTTTTTCTTCTGTGTGTGTGTTTTTTGTTTTTTTTTGGGGCATTTTCAGCACAGGGTTTCTTCAGTGTTATATTCACAGATACAATTTCTGTCCTGCGGTGACAATGCTTAGTTCATCAGATGCGTTTTCACCTTTTCCTGTGCAAATTCATACCTGTACCGTTTCTGTAGATATAGTGATAGATCAGTTGAAAAGAGTAAAAGAGTAGTAACCTTTTGGATCTTTAGATGTGAAAGCATCTCCCCAAAGACTAAGGTGCAAACTAAGGAAATTGCCGAGGATGCCATATTCCTTGCGACAGCCTGTCTAAAGGCTTTGTGTAGACTTCTGAGAAGGTCAGTGAGTCATTTATCAGTTTTTACATGTATTTATATTTTACATCAGTAAATATGGAAAAGAAGTGTAACATAAAAAGTTACAAAAATTTTAAATCTGAATGCAACATGAAATTCTAAAGATTTTTAAAGTGTCACTAACCCACAACAGTAAAATCTGTATATGCAGTAAATCCTGTTTCAAATCTGTGCGGTTGTGCGGGCCGCGATTTGCTTGTGCACAAGAGCCCATTCATTTGAATGGACTCCCATGCCCCAGGAAGAAGCCTCTGCACTACTTGGCATATCGCAGCCCGCATGGGATCGAGGTTCCCAGTGCGGTTGCGATTTCCAGTGCGGGTGCATGCCATGAGAATTAATGGCCCCCCCCCTCCCCTGCGGGACTCGCATTCCTCTATGTGGGTAGTGTGGCTGCAGCTATTTGTGCGGGTCCCGCAGCCGCACCACCCCCACAGGTGTGATCTGAGCATTAAGCATGCTTTTATGCTGTGGAACCTAAGGGGTTAATCCTCTAACATTGTGTAAAAATGCTGTTTGATCCTGTCTTCTCTGATCCTCTCCCCCTTTTACCTCCTGATAAAACATATGGTGTGTATTGCTAGAAAGGTGTTTGTTTTTTTTTTTTTTCCTTGGGAGAGTGCATGTGATCAGCACAGGGCCAATCAGCACTATCCAGATAGAGGTTAGGGGTTCTGCATCCTCCTAGAGCAGAATGAAAACTCTTCCTACAAGCTTTAACATGTGATTTGCTGGACACTGATAGAAGTTGCAAGACTGCTTTATATACTGCTGATGAGAAGAGGCATTTAGCAGTCTATATTTACTAAAATAATTGCACTTCCTTATTTTCTGTGTACTGTGGGAGACCGGATATAGTGAGTGCAGAGTCCGGGGAGACCGGATATAGTGAGTGCAGGGTCCGGGGAGATCAGATATAGTGAGTGCGGGGTCCTGGGAGGCCAGATATAGTGAATGCAGGGTCCATGGAGACCAGATATAGTGAATGCAGGTTCCGGGGAGACCAGATATAGTGAGTGCGGGGTCCTGGGAGGCCAGATATAGTGAATGCAGGGTCCGGGAGAGACCAGATATAGTGAATGCAGGGTCCGGGGAGACCGGATATAGTGAATGCAGGGTCCATGGAGACCAGATATAGTGAATGCAGGGTCCGGGGAGACCGGATATAGTGAATGCAGGGGGGGGTGAGACGGATATAGTGAATGCGGGGTCCCGGGAGACCGGATATAGTGAATGCAGGGTCCGGGGGACCGGATATAGTGATGCAGGGTCCTGGGGAGACCAGATATAGTGAATGCGGGGTCCTGGGAGAGACCAGATATAGTGAATGCGGGGTCCGGGGGGAGACCGGATATAGTGAATGCGGGGTCCTGGGGAGACCGGATATAGTGAATGCGGGGTCCGGGGAGACCGGATATAGTGAGTGCGGGGTCCGGGGAGACCGGATATAGTGAATGCGGGGTCCGGGGAGACCGGATATAGTGAGTGCGGGGTCCGGGGAGACGGATATAGTGAGTGCGGGGTCCGGGGAGACCGGATATAGTGAGTGCGGGGTCCGGGGAGACCGGATATAGTGAGTGCGGGGTCGGGGAGACCGGATATAGTGAGTGCGGGGTCCGGGGAGTCCGGATATAGTGAGTGGATATAGTGAGGCGGGGTCCGGGGAGACCGGATATAGTGAGTGCGGGGTCCGGGGAGACCGGATATAGTGAGTGCGGGGTCTCGGGGAGACCGGATATAGTGAGTGCGGGGTCCGGGGGGAGACCGGATATAGTGAGTGCGGGGTCCGGGGAGACCGGATATAGTGAGTGCGGGGTCCGGGGAGACCGGATATAGTGAGTGCGGGGTCCGGGGTCCGGGGAGAGACCGGATATAGTGAGTGCGGGGTCCGGGGAGACGGGATATAGTGAGTGCGGGGTCCGGGGAGACCGGATATAGTGAGTGCGGGGTCCGGGGAGACCGGATATAGTGAGTGCGGGGTCCGGGGAGACCGGATATAGTGAGTGCGGGGTCCGGGGAGACCGGATATAGTGAGTGCGGGGTCCGGGGGGAGACGGGATATAGTGAGTGCGGGGTCCGGGGAGACCGGATATAGTGAGTGCGGGGTCCGGGGAGACCGGATATAGTGAGTGCGGGGTCCGGGGAGACGGGATATAGTGAGTGCGGGGTCCGGGGAGACGGATATAGTGAGTGCGGGGTCCGGGGAGACCGGGATATAGTGAGTGCGGGGTCCGGGGAGACGGATATAGTGAGTGCGGGGTCCGGGGAGACGGGATATAGTGAGTGCGGGGTCCGGGGAGACGGATATAGTGAGTGCGGGGTCCGGGGAGACCGGATATAGTGAGTGCGGGGTCCGGGGAGACGGATATAGTGAGTGCGGGGTCCGGGGAGACGGATATAGTGAGTGCGGGGTCCGGGGAGACGGGATATAGTGAGTGCGGGGTCCGGGAGACGGGATATAGTGAGTGCGGGGGGTCCGGGGAGACGGATATAGTGAGTGCGGGGCGGGGAGACCGGATATAGTGAGTGCGGGGGGTTCGGGGAGACGGATATAGTGAGTGCGGGGTGAGACCGGGTGAATGCGGGGTCCGGGGAGACGGATTATAGTGAGTGCGGGGGGTCCGGGGAGACCGGATATAGTGAGTGCGGGGTCCGGGGAGAGCGGATATAGTGAGTGCGGGGTCCGGGGTTTAGTAACACTTTAAGTGGTATTAAATAATAAACTGTCCTGCCAAGCAAGCACCCAGTGGGGTATATTTTATTTATTCAGTTTCTCCTGCAAGTCAATACTAAACTGGTACAGCGAGACAGATTTCCTATTATAGCTCCACTTCATTGATCGTTTCCTCCTTCTGCAAAGTATTGCCACGACAGAATAAATCCTGGCCCTGACCGCACTCCTTCTTTGTGTGTCTTTTTTCATTTAAAATGTGTAATGTTTAGCGATGCTAAATCTGTTGCAGTCCTTTGCATATCTCTCTCAGTTGGATTCCAATCTCTGGGGTTACAAACACAATAATACTTCAGTAAGCGAGAGGCTGTCTATATTGTGTCTAACTGTGTTGCTAATATGTTTGATAAATGTACCCCATTGTGTCAGCTGTTAACAAGATGTGTTCTTAGTTGAAGGATAAATACAAATATATATATACTCCTTTAATTCTGCAAAAGTTACACAGATGATTTCCCCTCTGCCCTTATTCATCTTCCACTCATCAGTGGTTCTTTTCTTCTGCAGATCTTGGTGACGGGCAGCCGTGCTTTGCTTCTAAAGCAGTGGTGTTGGGAGGATGGTACTTGCTCCCGCACCTGGAAGGCCATTCATACAGCACCGGTCGCAAGTATGACCTTTGACCCCACCTCCACTTTGCTGGTTACAGGTGATTTCTCTGCTTTTCTTTTTATCAAGATGTACACTGATATTCTTCTCTAAGCCCTGCTTCTCACCAACGCCATTTGTCATGTGATTTTGAACTGTCAAATCGCATGACAAGTCGCACCCTATTTGCGGGAATAGAACCGTTCAAATTGTTGTGACTCAGAATAAGGTTCCCTCAATCATTTTCCTGAGATTTTATTGTGGCTTGCGTTGACTTCTGTTAAGTTGCATACCGCAGTGAAATCAAAACGTCCAAAACGCACAGATCTGTGGTTTTGAAATTGAGCTGAAGTAGCGTGATTTCAAAGCCGCACTGATGTGCACAGGGCTAAGGTGAGCCTTTGAAAACCATGTTAGCACCCCTCGCCCCTTCCTGCTGATATTTTCATCATGTACCCCTGATTTTCATTTGCTATTTCAGAGCCCAATACTTTCAGGTATGGAGGAACATGTGACAACCTCCCAGGAAACTTTGCTTGGCCCTGAGAGCGTACAATCCACACACAATTAGGAGGAAGAAAAGTAGCCGTCCACCCAACCTGACCCCTAAGCAATATTTGAAAAGCGCGCAGATTATGACATCTCAATAGTTCCCATGTCAGAACTAGAAAGAAATTAGGATTTATCTATGGTCCCATCTTTAGCATGTCCTAGCACTAGGGATTTTGATTATTGGCGTTTGTATCTCAGCTGTGATCATTCAGTGTTGTGGGCGAGCACAGGCACACAACTCCACCCAGTGACTGCCATTGATCTTACAGCAGAGTGGGCACAGACCAGGGTTTATTTAGGGGTATGTGTTAGATCAGCTGTCTATACAAAATAATATTTTGTACTAACCAGAGCAGCCCTTAGATCCTAAGAGTCCTCATGTAAGAAAGTGACTGGACATTCAGTAGCCCACAGTCAGTGGATTTTTCCTTTAATTCGTTTACCACTTAATAGAAACCGGTTTATTGGGTAAACACAGACTTTCAGGCAGTTGGAATCATTACATTACTTTCAGCAAAAACATTTCATTCTGGGGTTTCACATTTTAGATTTTAAGGATGCTTTTGCTGTTTTCTCAAGACTGCATATTTTGTCTTTATCTACAGGAGGATGTGATAGCACCATCAAGATTTGGGATATCCTCAAGCAGTACTGCACCCATAACTTGAAGGGGTCATCTGGAGTTGTCCAGTAAGTTTTTTTTTTTAATTTTTTTTTATTTTGAGGTTGTGGAAAATTTTACAGTTGCCTATAATACTTTAGGGATTTTTTTTTTTGCTTTTAACTTTTTGTTGGGTCCTTAGTGACCTTTCCAGAATGGGTTACAAAGAGGCCTCCAGAATCAGACAGAATCATTTTATCCTGAGCATAGAGAAGAAAAGGATGTTCTGTCACTGATATGCTGGAGCTTTATTTTAACCTCTTGGCACCGGCCAAGCGCAAATGTGCAGCCTCCCTGTGTCTGGGCCTAGACGCCGAGCAGCCGCACATTTGTGTTCTATTAAAAAAAAAAAAAAGTGCTGAGAGCGTGCGCCCTGCATGCTCCCAGCACACATATCCGGTACTCATGGAAAGGTACCGATCTCCTCTTTCGATCGGGACCTTTCCTGATCATGTCATGGCGGTCACATGACCCTAAGCCCCGCCCCCGGCTTCTGAAACCCTTAAAGGGCCGGGAGGCACCGGCGCCAAGGGGTTAAGAAGCATTAGGCAGTCCTGATTTTCATACTCTGAAGTTACTGTTATAACTTGTTTGCTTGAAATTTGTCAATCTCTAACTAAACATGGTGGTCTGACTGTCTTGTTAATGGTTTGTTTTTTGCTGAAAACCAACACATTGAATGGTGGGAATTATGTGTACATTTCCAGAATATCTTCTAATTTAGTCATTGATGCTTTGACATTGCTCCTGATTGCATTGCCTGCTTTTTTGTTCTTACAGTTTGGTCCAGTTCCATCCTGACATGTCCCGATTGCAGCTGTTCTCCTCCAGCATGGATTATAAGATCCGAATCTGGGATTTGAAGTCCAGCAAGTGTGTGTCTATACTAGAGGCCCACTACAGTGCTGTCACCTCCCTCTGCTTCTTCCCTGATGGGAACACCATGGTCAGGTAAGATACTTCTAATTGTATTTTTAATTATTAGACCTTATGATGAATTAAAGGAGGACTTCAGATTCTTTTAATTTTTTTTTTTTTACGTCACCAGCTACAAATACTGTGGCTGCTGACTTTTAAGAATCAGGTTCCTGGGGTCCAGTGCTGTCTTCCTGTAGACAGTTTATCTTACTGCTGCAGGTTCATGGAGCCACCATCTTGGATACTAGCAGTTTATCTTACTGCTGCGGGTGCATGGAGCCACCATCTTGGATACTAGCAGTTTATCTTACTGCTGCGGGTCCATGGAGCCACCATCTTGGATACAGGAGCTAGCAGTGGCTTCTGGAGGAACTACAGCCAGCTCCCCGACTGCACATGCATGAGCATACCTGGCACTTTGTGAATGGTCCTGCAGGACGTCATTCTCACTTAGCTGGATGTGGAAGTGGGTAAAAAACCTTTAACCCCGTACAGGCTGAGAGGGGGGAGGGAACCAGCGGGACTTCACTTTTTGATTGCAGTTATGCTTTTAAGTACCAAGAGCAATACTAGATGGTAAACCAGAGCAACCGGTCAGCAGACAATATGTCAAAGGGAGAAGATCCCCCGCCCGCTGTTACAATAAGAGTGGCAGGGGAAGGGGAGACTGCATGAGCTGGAACATGTTACATGTTCCACCATAAATACAAGTGAAATATGTAGCATGTTCCAAAACGTGAACTTATCTTGTAAAGTGTATGTAAGCCCTGACAATGAACTTCTCTTATTTCCTCCCTGCCGCTCCATAACTAAGCAGAGGTTATTCATCTGTAATTACAATTAGATTTTTTTTTTTTTCAGCTCTGGAAGAGACAAAATTTGCACAGTGTGGGATTTGGAGACCAAAACCTCAAAAAGGACAGTGGCAGTGTATGAGGTAATGCAGGCTTGTATTCAGGCTGTGCTGGGAACTGGTACAGGGGACCTAACATGTTGTATATTGTGGAAGGTAGCAAGGAGTTTTCTTTCTTTATCATCAGATATTATTTGTCACAAAAACATTTTCTTGTATTAAGATGTATAGGTGGTTAGGGTCTCTTCTCTACTGAACCCCGGCAAAAGGCACTGGCACTCCTGTTACCTTTAAACTATCATCTAGGATCATGGCTGTTGGGAAAGGTGGTGATTGGGTAATGAGGATTGCAGTGATTTCTGTTATATAAGTGAAGCATTGCATGCCCATCTAAAAGAATGTTAGAGAAGCTTTCTCTGATTTATCTCCACCTTTAGAGAGTTCTATGTCTGCAGATGACTTTCTCAGACAGTAGAAAATAATTTATATTGCCAGACATGAATATGTCAGTAGAGCTAAAATGAAACTGCTAACAAGGTGGTTTTTGTTTGCTTGGATGCAGGGGCGGACTGACAACTCATGGGGCCCCGAGCAATAGGGGATCATTGGGCCCCTGTGTCCTTGCCCAAACTCAAAAAAGCCTATGAAAAAGGTACCAGGGGCATCTCATTGGGCCCCCTACTGACCCAGGGCCCTTGGGCAGTGCCCGAGTTTCCAAATGGTCAGTCCGCCGCTGCTTGGATGTGTTTAACTGGCTCCTGTCCAGCCTATTGTACAATGAAGGCTGTGCGGGACCGCTCTCATTTTGGGAGGCTGTCATCTGATGTCGTCTCATTCTTGCTACGCATGCATGCCCCGGGGGGCGAGCAGCATGGTGATCAGTAGTGAAATGTGTCCCTTTGACACAACGCACCACCAATCAGGCTAAAGAGCCAATCACGTTGATCAGCTGTGTCCAATCACTGTCACTGTCTGAGGAATGGAAAGCCGATAACTGGATTTCCTGTGACAAGGACATTTACACTGATAATACGGGCACTGATCATCGGTGCCCTGATTATCAGTACAGCCCCATAAGTGCAGCATGTTAGTGCCCATCAGTGCAGCCTTATCAGAGCCTCTTCATCAGTGCACATCAGTGAAGAAGAAAAATTACTCATTTGCAAAAATTTTACAACAGAAACAGTCCAAATTTTCAGTTTTATTTAGCAAAAAATAAAAACCCAATGGTGATTAAATACCACCAAAAGAAAGCTCTATCTGTCTCCAAAAAAATGATAAAAATCTAGACAATTGCACGGTCATGCAACACTGTACCCAAAGTATGACAGCGCGTAAAGCTGAAACGTGGCCTGGGCAGGAAGGGGGTGAAAGTGCCCGGTGTTGAAGTGGTTAAATGGCTAAAGAGCTTTAACATAGTTCTAAAGCCTAAAAATTTTTTTTTTTTAACCTTAAAGTGGAACAAAATTTCTGCAGTTGTTTCCTGCGAACAGGCAGGTTTTTTTTTTTTTTTATTGGAGAAGAGGTATGCAATGTCTCTTCTGCAGTAAAATACACCTGCCTGCCTGTTTGCAGCATTCCCCACATGTAAACTGAGCTGCACATGTGCTGGCCTGATCCCTGTGTACTGGAATGACGGCCTCCTGTGCATGCGCAGGAGTGACATCATCCCACACTGGCCAATGAAGATGGCCGAAAACCAGCACACAGAAGAAGATGCCAGCTCCGTTGAGGAGCAGGGACCATTGGAGGAAAGGTAAGCATTGATGTATTTTCTGCCTAAAGTAAAAAAAAAAAAAAAAAAAAAAACGCCCCAATGCCTGTCCTTGCCACTGCACCAGCACTATCACCGGCTCCAGCACTGCTCCCCTCACTTTTTGCTTTCACAAAAGAAACCGAGGACTACTGAGTCATAGGATCCTGCTGCCTACAGTGGTTTACCGAAGTTGTGTGTGTCTATAGGTGCACACAGCCCGGTGGGAGCCTGCACTCACAGTTGCCTCCTTAGCACTCGACTTGCTACAGAAGGACCCCCTAAGGAGGGAGTACCTAACAGCTCTGGGGGCTACCAGAAGAGAAGGCAAGTGAGTTTCTTGTCCAATATTGTTCACAGCAAGTATAACATCTTTTTTGTTTAAAAAAAATTTGCCTTTAACATCACTTAAAGTTTGCTATTTTTTTTTTTACATTTATTGCAAAGAAAATATCTATGTTGTGTGTTTCAGAGTGTAGAGGTGGCATTGCTTCTTCCAGAATCCTCAGATGTGATTGGCAGAGAAGATAACACTGAGTCTCTCCTCTTTGTTACAGCTGGCAGTAAAGGTGAGCTACACTACTAAATAGGAAACATCCAGCATGTATGGGGAGGGAGCAAATGTGACTTTGTCTACATACATGTATAACTAAAGATGTTACATAGAAATTACATACAGTATGTTGATGAGATCAGTTACACTTTGGTGATCACATGCACATACAGTGGGGATCGAAAGTTTGGGCACCCCAGCTAAAAATTTGTATTAATGTGCATAAAGAAGCCAAGGAAAGATGGAAAAAAATCTCCAAAAGGCATCAAATTACAGATGAGACATTCTTATAATATGTCAACAAAAGTTAGATTTTATTTCCATCATTTACACTTTCAAAATAACAGAAAACAAAAAAATGGCGTCTGCAAAAGTTTGGGCACCCTGCAGAATTCATAGCATGCACTGCCCCCTTTGCCAAGCTGAGACCTGCCAGTGTCATGGATTGTTCTCAGTCATCGTCTGGGAAGACCAGGTGATGTCAATCTCAAAGGTTTTAAATGCCCAGACTCATCTGACCTTGCCCCAACAATCAGCACCATGGGTTCTTCTAAGCAGTTGTCTAGAAAACTGAAACTGAAAATAGTTGACGCTCACAAAGCTGGAGAAGGCTATAAGAAGATAGCAAAGCGTTTTCAGATGTCATATCCTCTGTTCGGAATGTAATTAAGAAATGGCAGTCATCAGGAACAGTGGAAGTTAAAGCAACATCTGGAAGACCAAGAAAAATATCAGACAGAACAGCTCGCAGGATTGTGAGAAAAACAATTCAAAACCCACGTTTGACTGCACGATCCCTCCAGAAAGATCTGGCAGACACTGGAGTTGTGGTACACTATTCCACTATAAAGAGATACTTGTACAAATATGGTCTTCATGGAAGAGTCATAAGAAGAAAACCTTTCTACGTCCTCACCACAAAAATCATCGTTTGAACTTTGCAAATGAACATATAGACAAGCCTGATGCATTTTGGAAACAAGTTCTGTGGACCGATGAGGTTAAAATTGAACTTTTTGGCCGGAATGAGCAAAGGTACGTTTGGAGAAGAAGGGGCACAGAATTTAATGAAAAGAACCTCTGTCCAACTGTTAAGCATGGGGTTGGATCAATCATGCTTTGGGGTTGTGTTGCAGCCAGTGGCACAGGGAACATCTCACGAGTAGAAGGAAAAATGGATTCAATAAAATTTCAGCAAATTTTGGATGGTAACTTGATGCCATCTGTGAAAAAGCTGAAGTTAAAGAGAGGATGGCTTCTACAAATGGATAATGATCCTAAACACACCTCGAAATCCACGGGGGATTACATCAAGAGGCGTAAACTGAAGGTTTTGCCATGGCCTTCACAATCTCCTGACCTCAACATAATTGAAAATCTATGGATAGACCTTAAAAGAGCCGTGCGTGACAGACAGCCCAGAAATCACAAAGAATGGAATACTTTTGTAAGGAAGAATGGGCAAAGATACCTCAAACAAGAATTGAAAGACTCTTGGCTGGCTACAAAAAGCGTTTACAAGCTGTGATACTTGCCAAAGGGTGCAGTACAAGATATTAACTCTGCAGGGTGCCCAAACTTTTGTAGACGCCGTTTTTTTTTGTTTTCTGTTATTTTGAAAGTGTAAATGATGGAAATAAAATCTAACTTTTGTTGACATATTATAAGAATGTCTAATCTGTAATTTGATGCCTTTTGGAGATTTTTCCATCTTATCTTGGCTTCTTTATGCACATTAATACAAATTTTTAGCTGGGGTGCCCAAACTTTCGATCCCCACTGTACATACTCCACTTTCTCTTTGCTGTCTGTTCAGGTTCTCTTTTAAAGTCTTAATTTTTTGTAGTTTTCGGTAAAGTATATAGAAATAGTGAATGTGTAGAAAAAAATCTATGGAATACCTTAATATTTTTAGATGAGCACCAGCAGCAGCCTAAACATCACCTCCCCTGAGAGCTAGCTACAGAATGGACCTCTTCTGTTTGTATGAATGCAGCAGTTTGATAAATCCCAATGAGTCAAACCCATAGCCCTTCATGTAACAAAGCTCATGGTCTCCACTAATTTGCACAGCTCTGACTCTGGTGGGGGGCATGTTGGCCTGCTGCAAGAGAGACCATTGCTTCCACCCAGAGAGCAACAGTCCTCTGCAGCTGAATGTCAGGGGAGTAGACTGCTGCAGGGATGCTAATAAAGAATAGTAAGAAATATATCATTGTTTATTCTTGCACTTTCATTTAAGCACATTTTAATAAAGAAGCTGAGAATTTTCACACAATAAACTATGAATATTCACTTCAGTTATCTGGTCATGTGAAAAGCAGATTCTTGCTGCTTCAATCCTCATACCTAATGATGGGCATATGAAAAAAGTAAACAGGAATTTACTCTTCACATGGCTGAATAATTGAAGTACAAATTCACACAGTAATGTGCAAAGATTCTTAAAGCGGAGTTCCACTCACCCTGTCAAAAATTAAAAGTCAGCAGCTAAAAAACTGTAGCTGCTGACGTTTAAAAAACAGCCACTTACCTGTCCCTCGGTCCCGCGGTGTGTCCCCTGCAGCCCGTTTCACCGGCCGTCCTGTATTCCAGGAGGCCGGCATCTTCAATGTTGGCACCTGGCTGTGATAGCTTGCGGCTTCACAGACGGGTACCCACTGCGCATGCGTGAGTAGCGCTGCGCTTCATGAATGGTCCTGTAGTCTTCTGGGACCTGTCAGGTGTCCCAAAACACTACAGGGAGGGAGGACACCTTCCGATTGCCTAGGCGAATCGGAAGTGGGAGTGGGTACCTGTCAAATTTGGGTACCCGCTCCCCCCCCCCCCTTGCCTCCCAAAGGTGCCAATCCTTAATGGGGAGTGGGGGAGCAGTCCTTAAATCGGAACTTCCCCTTTTGGGTGGAGCTCTGCTTTAACTCCTTTAGTAAATCCACCACAATGTATTTTTCATACCATACCTAAAAGCCTTATTTAGACTTGCTTGGGCACAATTAATGTTTCTAGACATTCCCTATGACAAAGCAGATCTTCACTTTTTGAGTTCCAATTGCTTCTAATGTCACCCATTGTTCAATGACAGGTATCTTGCGGTTGTGGGATGCGACCACCTCTAGGTGTGTGTACAGTCAGAGCTTGCCTCACACCAGCAAGAAAGTGTCAGAGGAAGAAGGGGATGAGCACAGCCTGATTCATTGCCTGCTCCTACCCAATCAGAAGAAGGTTGTCACCGTCACAGCAGAACACAATATCCTGATTTATGATCTTCAGGACCTCCAGCTAAAGAAACAGGTACAGCCACCTACTTAGAGCGGAATAGTTTATCATTGTCTTCCTTTATAAAAACAAAATTCTACCAAGATTTTAAACAACTTCACAAAATGCTATTTCTAACCTACTTGTACTGCATAATAAGAAAAACAACCCTTGTAATATCAGAAAACCTGAAACTATTTCTGTGAAAGTTATATATTTTTTTACTGCTCCTAAACCCAACAACAAAAATATAATAGTTTTCTAGTCCTGAAAGTGTAAGTTCACCTTTCCACAAAAAGCAAAAAGGTGAACACTATACACTTCTGACCTACCCCCAAGAACCAACGACCGACTCCTCAAGATCCTTACCTTCATGGATGATTGGCTGTCATGGACCACACAGCTGAAGCAGGGGTCTGGTGATCTGAGAGCTGCAGCCGCCTTCTGGGACAGATTGGAGTGATTTTGATTGGTTACGTGACCACATTGACCATTTGGAGTCACCCTGACTCATCCTAGGTAAGAAGACCATGGCTTTCAAATCACCGGACCCCTGCACCAGTTGCGTGGACAGTGAATGGTAATCTTCCATGGAGGTAAGTGCAACAGGGATGAGGAGGGTATACCATGTTAGTTCACACCTGAACTTGTACTTTAATTTTGTGGCTGCTTTAGTTTTCTTTTTCAGGCTATTTTTTCCGTATTTCTACGTAGTGATGCTGCCGGTAATACACTCTCAGTCCTAGGATGACCACGCTCAATCACTGGACTGCAGAACACCTTTCCCTCATCTCTTTGCTTTAACATGGGGTAAATGTTTTGTACTCCTAAGAAAGAGTTGGGGACATTCACTGATAACTGTGCAGAGTGGACAGGCAGTTCGCTCACAAGATATCTGTTAATTTCTGCTAGAAATCCTGTGTGCTGATAGCTTGCTGTGCACTCTACCTGTGCCGACTGTTATCACTGACCCCCGGTTCACATATATGCAGCCGCGCTTTGCATGGGCACTAGAGCCCATTCATTTGAATGGACTCCCGTGCCCCGGGACACGCAGGGAAGAAGTCCCTACACTACTTTGGAAAACACAGCCCACACAGGAACCTCGGTTCCCAGTACGGTTGCATTTTCCAGTGTGGGGGCGTGCCATTAGAAGTAATGGCTTGCCCGCGGGTCCGCAATTCTCTGTGCGGGTGGTGCGGCTGCACGGATTTTCACACAGATGCACAGATGTGAACCTAGGGTTAGTATTGTTCATTTTATTCTATGGATTCCACAGACTTTGCGTATTGATTCAGACACAGTTTATACCTGCCCTTCTTTACCAGAGAAAAATTCTATTGTTGGACTAGAGGGGACTTTTTCTTTAAGAGGCAGCTTTGGGTGAACACTGGCAGTTTAAAGTGGTTGTAAACCCTCCCATATATCCAGTGAAGTGACTGGCCTCAGGTGATCCACAGAGATGAAACAAATCCTCCTACATGAGTTGTACCTGTTTATCTGCAGTCCTCTCTTCTCTACACCCATTCATAGTCCTGAATTTATAAAGCTTGTCTGAGAGTTCAGGAAAAGGGGACGGAAAGCTGCAGTTACACTCTGCAGAGCTCTGAAAGCTGATTGGAGGGAAGGGACAACTCCCCCCTCCACACATCTCACAGGAACAGAGCTGAGGCTGTCAATCTGGTGGAAATCCCTTCCCTGTCACCTTTTTTCTCTTGGTGTCAGGAAAACTTTTCAAAAGTGATTTATGCTGATACAGTAATGAAGCAGCAGTCAGAAACAACACTTAGTGCTCTGGATAGAGACAAGTAACTACAGAGGGATATGCTTTGTTCATATTTCATGTCTGAGGTTTATAACCACTTTAAACCAGGCTGATTGGAGGGAAGGGACACCTCCCCCCCCCCCTCTCCTCACATCTCACAGGAACAGAGCTGAGGCTGTCAATCTGGTGGAAATCCCTCCCCTGTCACCATTTTTCTCTTGGTGTCAGGAAAACTTTTCAAAAGCGATTCATGCTGACAGAGTAACAAAGCAGCAGTGAGAAACAACACTTAGTGTTCTAGATAGAGACAAATACACACTACAGGGGGATATGCTTTGTTCATATTTCATGTCTGCGGTTTATAACCACTTTAAACCAGGCTTTCTTTGTTTATTTTCTGGCTTCCTCACTGTCTTCCACTCTTTCAGCTTTAGACTCTTCTCCAGGCTGCCCTCTACCCTGAATCGCCCATTCTACCCATATTAAACCCTCATAAAGCAAGTGACCTATATTATAAATTAACCTGTTGTAATCCAGTTTGCAGGCTACAACGATGAAGTCCTGGATGTGAAATTCTTGGGCCCATCCAATTCTCATGTTGTGGTCGCTACAAACAGCCCCCAAATTAAAGTGTTCGAGCTGGCAACATCCAACTGCCAAATCCTGTACGGCCACACAGGTAGGAGCTGTTATTTTTCTTGAAGTCTTAACTAGTATTGGGAAATATTGTGCAAATACAAAAAAAGTGTATTCGTTCTTGAATCTTGGTCTCCTGTATGTATTTCTTTCAGATCTTTTCAGTAATCCAGCATAAAACTTTTGTAATGTGCAGGATTTTCCTGTAATAAAGACCGCTCACTGCTGCTGTCTCTCTTTGTTCAAAGTGACTGGTCTGGTCTCCACCCCTTTCTGTAGTTTTCTGCAGGCAGCCCGTAGTGGGTGGGGCCTGCTGGGTCCTTTCCACAGCTCTGCACAGGCTATGTACAGCACAGTGATGTCACTGCTACTTTTATTTATTTTCCTGCTATTATATGTGTTTGCAAAGTTCTTTAGTGTACACAGAATTTTTTGGCCAGAATTCAGCTTTAACCACTTCATGTCCGGACACTTTTACCCCCCTCCTGTCAAGGCCAATTTTCAGCTTTCAGAGCTGTCACACTTTGAATGACAATTGCGCGGTCATGCAACACTGTACCCATATGAATTTTTTAGCATTTTTTGAGACGGATAAAACTTTATTTTGGTGGTATTTATTCACCACTGGAATTTTTATTTTTTCGCTATATAAATGAAAGTCCAAAAATTTTGAAAAAAAGTGTTTTTCTTATAAAATTTTGCAAATCTTTCTTCATAAATCTTGGCCAAAATGTATTCAGTTATCTTTTTAGTAAAAAAAAAATAACCCAAATTAGTTTATAAACAAAAATTTATAATTTTTCTAAAAAACTTGTTTACATTTTTATTTTTATTTTTTTATATTATTTGGTTTTTTTTTTACATACTGTCACCCTAGCAGTACAGTGTCATTATAGTGACACTGTACTACTTGTGGGGGTGAAGATTTTTTTTTTTTTTTTTTTTTTTTACCCTGATTGCTTTTACACCCATAAAGGCTGTAAAAGCAACCATTTCTCCTTCTCTCTGGCTGCATTCTTTCAGCTGTTGAGAAATACTGTGTGAGCTGTGATTGGTCACAGCTTGTCAGCTGTTGTGAATAGCCTTGTACCATGTGATCTCTGTGATCATTCAGATTTCACACGTAGTAAGCAATGATGTCAAAAGTGACATCTTGCTTACCCCTATTCATGTGATCACTGATTGGCCAATCAGTGATCACATGATCGGGACCTCACACAGAGGTCCAGTACAGCAAATTAGTGTTCACGGTGCCACGCGCTCCCAGGGGGCGCACATAATCCAAAGTGGCGGGCGCCATTTATGAACGGCAACCCTCCCCTGCACTGCCACTGTCTGGCCATTTATATACAGCAGCCGGACGGGAAGTGGTTAACTTCTTCATGACCAAAAGTTGTTGAAGCCTTTGTAGTCACAGCACTTTTGACAATTTATTTAGCGCTTTGTTTTTAATAAACACCCTTCATATATTTATGGATAGAAGCAGACACAAGGGGAAAGGTAGGAACCTCAAGTTTTTATTCTCTGTCCCTGCCCTATGTATTTGTTGAACTGAAAGTGAGAGAAAATCAAAAATTTGGGTTGTCACTAGAACAGGAATAAAGGGGTTATCTTTCTGTTTCTATATTTTTAAATGAAGTTTTGAAGAGGAATACAACCAAAATATAATATGGCATAGTGCTAAAAGTAAAGGGAACGTCATCTGCTGAAAGGCAAAACGTTTCATTGGTGACAACTGTTCTAAGAGGGGAATTCCCTCACATTGGAGAGATTTCTTCTAACTTATGGTCATGTCTACATGTCAGGAAGTGGAGGAACATCTCTTCAATATAGCAGATATGGCACATATAATGTGGCAGGAATTTTAACCATTCCTAAGGCTACGTTCACACTAGCTTCGTCAGCAGGTGTCAGACAGGCATTTGGAAAGCGTTTTTAACTGTGTACTGTGAAAGATCAGATATAATGAATGCAGGATCCTGGGTTTGGTAACACTTTGATGCAGAACTCAAAGTCCCACTTTCAAAACTGCAAACAAGCACGCTGTTTATTGTAGAAGAGGCATGCATTGTCTATTCTGCATTAAAATAAAATAAGTTCCTGCTCAGTCTGCTTTGGAATGTACACTTGGCTCTGCAAGCGCAGCTCAGTGTACATTCCAGCACAGCACCTGTGTGTTGGGATGACTGCGCTCTTCCCGTGACAGCCAATTAAGACCACCACAGTCCGGCACCTGAAAGAAGCCAGGTAGACGACGCCGGTGCTGTGAGGGGCCTCAGACTGTTGAAGGATAGGCAAGTATTGTGCAGTTTAGTTCTCCTTTGTTGATGACAGGGTCTCTTTAAATTACAGCAGAATAGTAAATGACTAATACAGGTGCAAGGACGGTGCAGTATATGTTTGATATTTGATAAGGCTTGCTAATTGCTCTCATTGATGATTATGTTTTCTAGAAACTGTTCTGGCGCTTGACGTGTTTAAGAAAGGGCTCCTGTTTGTCAGCTGTGCTAAGGTAAGTTCCCTACCCTTAGTAGGAATTACAGCCGATAATTTTGATTGTAAAGGGAATAAGCTACAAGAAAGGTTAGATAATAAAAATATTTCTAACTTTACAAAGGACAGAAGCTGTGCCCAAAAAAAAAAAGAGTAAAGTGCTAGTCAGCAGAAATGCATGTAGGCCCCATGCAGCAAATCTTTTCCCCAGTGCGGACTTACCATGCCTTGTTCTGAGCCAGGTCTCTGTGAAGAGGCAGTCATCTTGGCCAGGGGCGGACTGACAACTCATGGGGCCCCCGGGCAATAAGGGATCATGGGGCCCCTGTGTCCTTGCCCAAATTTCAAAAAAGCCTATGAAAAAGGTACCAGGGGCATCTCATGCGGCCCCCTACTGACCCCCCGGCCCTTGGACAGTGCCCGAGTTTCCAAATGGTCAGTCCGACCCTGATCTTGGCAGAAGCAGAGCTTTGCTTCCTCATGCAAGAGCTGCCCCCCTGATGATTGGTGGGGTAATGATCTAGAATGGGGGTCAGCCAGTAGATTGCGGTCAGGTGACTGGTAGATCTCAGTCAGGGCTTATTGGCCCACCATTCCAGAGCATTAAACAGAGTGCAATGCACAGGGACTACTTTTTAAAGTTGGAGCTGTAGTAGGGAGCAAGAGCCGCATATTCTGCGGGTTTGCTGCATTTCTGAAAACGCCATAAACTTTTGAATGCAGGAGTCTTTGTGCGCTTTCAGAAAGTGCTCCACAACTGCAGGATATAATAAAGTCTATGACAAAGCATAACTAACCCAGGAAAGTTGCAGGTAAACCGCAGCACGTCAGTGTGAAAGCAGCCTTGTATGGGTTCATTTACATTGGCAGTTTAGGGGGTGGTGAAACTCCATAGTTAAGACCCCTGCCCCAAACTCACCCCCTTTAGCTGCAGTGGCCAGGGGTGTACACATGTCATAGATGCAGCAGGAACTATACGCTCCGTCATGGTTGGTGGGTGTAGCACCTTCCAAGCATGACCCATTCAAGTGAAGGAGTCTGCTCTGCAAGTGCCCTGCAGTCGTGTGCAGTACAGCAAACAAGACGTTAAGGCAGGCAACTTTGTGTTGCTTTCTCACCACCTGCTTTAACCCCTTGGACCCGCAGAACCGTGCAGTTGCCGAGTGCTTGCAGAGTAACCCCATTTACTTGAATGGTTCACAATTGGCAGGCGATAGCACCTCCAAAAACTACAGGGTGTTTAATTCCTGCTGCAGCATGTGTACACCTTTTGGCTGCTGCCTCGGCAGCTAAAGGGGCTAAGGATCTGGAGCTGTAAAGCCACGATTAAACTGCAGGGTTTTACCACCCCTAACTTTACGTGAACAAGCCCTAAGGGTGCTGCTGTCAAATGCAACTAATGGCTCATTTAAAAGTGCAACAGGCACTATTGCTGCTCTAAAAAAGTGATCCAAGGGTGTTTGACAGGTGGTGAGGAGGTGATATGTTGCCTCCTCACCACCTGTTTTAAACGCTTGATTTCCATGCAATGCATGCGATTGCGACACGGTAGTACGGCAAGTAATGGCTTAAATCAGGTGTGAGGTGGCAACACCGTGCCCGGTGATCTTTGACTTCTCCCATGTTGTTCAGGTAGATCTCCACCTCTGTAAGGTTGCCTACTCCTGATCTAGAAGAGACAGGAGTGGTGGAAAAATGAATGATAGAAACGGGGAAGTCCTTGTACTGCAGGTCCTCTGGTACAGCTCCTGCAAGGGGAACAGTGGGCAGCACAGTAGTGGCATCACCAATTTTCACTTTAAATCTAGCAGTCACGGGGAGCAGTGCCTTAGATGATCACACACAGTAGATGTACAGTTATAGCAATTAATTTTTGATCCTTTGCACTTCATATTTAGTAAAGTAAGCAAAGTCAAACTTTTTAGACTATTGGCTGCATGCATGTTGCATGTCATTGACTCACTAGGAAATGAAAACAGGATCTGGATGACAGCCCCAGCAATGGCAGCTCCTACACCACCCTCCCCACAGGTTTACATTAGTGTGCAGCTCCATAGCAGTGCTTATTACTTGCAGAAAGAAGTGCTTTATAGGAATAATTAATGTTACTTCCACCTCCAGTTCATCCCCTTTGTTTTAGCTCACAGTTCTTTGGCAAAAACTAGTATATCCCTTAGACCAGCCTTTCTCAACCAGGGTACCTTGAGGTTTCTTCAGGGGTGCCTTGGCCATATGTCTAAAAATTGCCCAAAACTTGTATATAAGCCAGCGGGTGGAACAAGCCTGACTTTTAGTTACACAAAGCCACAGGTCTTCATTGTGCACCATTACCACCTTCTAGCCGCCGGCGTCCTGACACCCAATGACATCATCAGTTGATAAGGAGGATGTCAGTTGCCTGCACAGCATCCTAGTTTGACCCTTGCTTGTCCTTTCTATCAGTGCCGGGGTCTAATTAGCTCAGTGATGGAGGAAAAATTGAGGGAGAAGAAACACATGAGAATACTACTCAGTACCAGGGTGCAAAAGTGTTTGCTTTGGAAGAATAAATCACCTCTAATGTTGGATGTTCTACATGTGTGGATGTTGCTGCATTATATAAACCTATTATAATAGTTTTTCAAATTTTATAATGGGGGCCCTTTTAAAATGGACAGTCTTGAGGCACCCCATTTTAGAATGGGGTGCCTGAAGACTATGCATAATTTTTTAAAGGGTGCCTCGGGACTGCCCATAATTTTAAAGGGTGCCTTGACTGAAAAAAGGGTGAGAAACACTGCCTTAGACTGTAGCGTGTTGCCAGTACCAGACAATCAGATTGATGGTCATATGCTGGCGATAACAGCAGCTTTGGCCAGCACACTGTTTTCGATGATCTTTTTAAAATTTAGTCCCCTGAGTAAAAATAAAAACCCTCCTTTAACCACTTGCCTACCAGGCACTTATACCCCCTTATTTACCAGGCCAATTTTCAGCTTTCAGCGCTGCTGCACTTTGATTGACAATTGCGCGGTCATGCAACATTGTACCCATATGAAATTTTGATCATTTTTTTCTCACAAATAGAGCTTTCTTTTGGTGGTATTTAATCGCCACTGGGCGCTTTAATTTTTGCGCTATAAGTTAAAAAAGTGCAAAAAATTTGAAAAAAAAAAAAAAAAGTTTCTTTGTTTCTATTATAAATTTTTTCAAACAGGTATTTTTTCTCCTTCACTGATGTGCGTTGATGAGGCAGCACTGATAGGCGGCACTGATAGGCAGCACTAAAGGGCACTGATAGGCAGTACTAATGAGGTGGCACGGATAGGCGGCACTGATAGGCAGCACTAATGAGGTGTCACGGATAGGCGGCACTAATATGCAGCACTGATAGGCGGCACTGATAGGTGACACTGATGATGGGTACTGATAGACGGCACTGCCTGGCATCACTGCTGGGCACTGACTGGCGGCACTGACTGGCACAACCCCTGGGCACTGACTGGTGGCACTGACTGGCAGCACTGCTGGGCAGCACTGGTGGGTGGCACTGGTGGGTGGGCACAGGTGGGTGGCACTGGTGGGCACAGGTGGGTGGGCACAGGTGGGTGGCACTGCTGGGCACTGGTAGGTGGCACTTCTGGGCACAGGTGTGTGACACTGCAGAGTGGCACAGGTGGGTGCACTGCTGGGCACAGGTGGGTGCACTGCTGGGCACAGGTGGGTGCACTGCTGGGCACAGGTGGGCGGAGCTAGTGGGCGCACTGCTGGGCACAGGTGGGCGGAACTTGCGGGTGGCATTGCTGGGCACCGATCATCAGGGCACTGATCATCAGTGCCCTGATGATCGGTGCCGATCCCCGCTCTGACAACTGCCAGTTCTCGGCAGTACTTTCCTCACGATCTGACAGCGTGAGGAAAGTGCAGCCGAGAACCGGCACTTGCATTTCCCTGTGATCAGCGTGTCATTGGACACCGCTGATCACGTGGTAAAAGGCCGGTATGATTGGCTTTTTACCACATCACGTGATCAGCTGTGTCCGTAGGACACAGCGATCACGGAGATCGCCGGGTGCGCGCAGGAGAGCGCGTTCTGGGAGGACGTCATATGACGTCCACTCAGAACTGGCCGGCCGCAGTTTAGCCGTCATTCGGCTATCTGCGGTCGGCAACTAGTTAAGAAAACCTGTACCAGAGAATACATAGTGGTCATCCTCTTTTAAAGCCCTCTTTATGATAATACTAGGTAGCTTGCTGTCATGCTGATTTAATTTTTTCAATACTTCCTATGTCCCTGGCCTGGAACAAGTATGCTTTTACATTGCCTTGACTGCCTGCACATGCTAGGTCAATGACTCAGTACTGAAGCCAAAGAAGTAGGCCTGACTGTGAAACAATTAGAAGGAGATCAGTAATGTTCAGTCTTGTACTTCCTGCTCTAACACTTATTGTTTAGGAATTTAGAGCAGTAAGCATAATGTGAAGGTTTAAAGCAACGTCTGTCTGTACCTTCCTGTTCTTGTAGGACAAAACTGTCAGAGTTTGGAAGATGTCTAAGGGAAAGGTGTCCTGTGTAGCCATGGGTGGAGGTCATGCTAATGGTGTTGGAGCAATCTCCTGTTCAAGGTAGGAATGAACAGTCTGTGAATTTTCTGTACAACAGTGGTGTGTTTCTGCCCATGCAAAGAATTACAGATCAGTTGAGCAGGTACTGAGCTAAATCCTCAAAACACTACATTGTATGTCACCCTTTCTGCCCTTGCTTCCTATCACTAACAACCCTCTTTTTCCACCAGGCCACAGGCGTTTTCTTGGTGGGTAGCTAAAGGACTCTCTCATGTTCAACACCTTTTAACCTTCAGGTCCTTTCCCACATGGGCCTCTCTTCGGGAGATCCATGACATCTCTCAGTTGGGGTTCTTCCGTTATCTTCCACTACAGCACTGGCTCACCTTACGTAGAACTTCCCCATATCCATTCCAGAAAACTGCCTTTGAACACATTTACCACCATTACCCTGGTTCCCTTAGGTCTTATCACTACCCTCTAAATGGTCTATGCTTCTCTGAATGGTCGTCTTTCTCATACTCCTCTATGTTACTCAATGGGAATGGAATCTGGCAGTTGAAATAGACCTAGAGGAGTGGAGGAGGGCCTGGTCTTCTGTAGCCAAATGCTCGTTTAACACAGCTACCTTGGAGGTGGCATCTAAAGGGATATTACATTGATACTGGGTCCCAGCCCGATGTATGTAAGGTGATATTACATTGATACTGCGTCCCAGCCCGATGCATATAAGGTGATATTACATTGATACTGGGTCCCAGCCCGATCCATATAAGGTGATATTACATTGATACTGGGTCCCAGCCCGATGCCTATAAGGTGATATTACATTGATACTGGGTCCCAGCCCGATGCATGTAAGGTGATATTACATTGATACGGGGTACGGGGTCCAGCCCGTATCGCCCATGCAAACGCATCCCGTAATGACCACTGCTTTCGGGGTTGTGGTCATTGAGGTGATATACATACGTGGTGGACATGCCCTAAATTGACTGACTGGGTTTTGGCCCTACATTTTTGGCCTGCTCTTTACCCTGTTTCATCTACCTATATGTAGAGAGGCCAAATTTGCCTTATTACAGAAACTTGCCTCCTATCTTTTTCTGTCAGCCATCAGGATGATAGCCCAAGCCTTAAAAAAAGCATCGGTCTCATTCCAGGAGGTGTGGAATCCTATGACGGTTCTGATGCCCAATGAACAGATGTCCAGTATCCAAAATAATTCTCAGGCAAAGTTCCTTTAAAATCCGGGAACCGTGTCTGGCGTACGACTTTCCCACTCTCCCTCCAGCTAGTTTGGACCTACTCTGATGGGCAGTCCCAGTGCTCTCGAGTCCTTATCCCTCTTCCTTCTTTCTGATTTCCCTCTGGTTTTTGGCTCTCTGGCCAACTCTTCTCCCCCCTGTTTCTTTCTGACTGCTTTACAGGAGTGCAACTTTTATCTTCGGTCGCCTCATCTTTCAACCTAGTCTTCTTTTTATCTCTGTTCGTCCTTCTACCCATTTATATCTACATGAGCTACAGATGGCGAACTCATGTGGGCCCGGATGGATCCTAAGGATGTCCCGCTATTGCAGAGGGGACCCTCCTGGCCCTCCACTCTCTGTAGCCAGCAGTGTGTATTAAGTTATTGCTGTTGTGTCAGTTTTTGATTGACATCCAATGCCTTTTGTTTGCTGTTTTTTGCTTTTATGCATGCTCACCTCCATTGCACATGCCTCTGCTAGCCCCTGCGTGGGCAAACTTATTGTTTACCTGTTTTTGTTAAAACCAAATAAACATTATTGAAATAAAAAACATTACATGGAAAGAGAAAACAGCTGACTCTGATTTGGCTGCACACTGTGAGCTTTTCATTGTGTTCATTATAATGAGCTTCAAGTCAGATAGAGCCCATATCATTTACTGGTTGGACAGTGTGCACCATCTAGCACCCCTTACTAGCCTTGGCCGCCCTTTCATAACATAATACGTTCACACTAGTGCAGGCTGTGCAGTTTGTGTGGAAACAGCAGCTTATTTATTTGAATGAGCTGCTGTGCCTGCGTTTCACACACAAAAAAAAAAAGTGCATGCACCTTATCTGTAGGGAAACCACGTGGTCTTTTATAGGACCCACTTTTGTTGCTGAGTGCATAATAGCATGGGGTTGGTAATCTCAGAGGTAAATGCATGCTGCAGACATGGCGCAGCATAGATATTGGTGCAGTGGTGGTAGCTGGTAAGAAAACACATCACTTTTGTCTGGGGTAATGTGTGGCTTCTTCAAAAAGCAAAACTTAGCACATGTGATAACTAATGTCCAGTGGTTTCATAGACATACATGCAGATAAGGTTCATAACTCACCTCTCTTGTATTTTATCAGATTGAAGGAGTCCTTCATAGTGAGTGGAAGTCAGGATCTAACCTTAAAGATATGGAAGCTCCCAGAATCCATTGCTTCCATGAAAGTTAAAGGCCAGTTATCTGGGATGCAGAGCTTGCATGCAGCTTGTACGGAGAAGGCACATGATAAGGTGAGATGTCTGTACTGATTGGGTGTTTTTTTGATACATATATACAAAATATATTGTGATTTACTTGATGTATGCAGAGTTATCAACCCTGTGTTATCTTTTGAACACTTTGGGGTTGATTTTACTAAAACTGGAGTGCAAAATCTGGTGCAACTCGGCTTCCAGGTTTTTTGCCAAAGCTTTATTGAACAAGCTGAAGTTAGAAGCTTAGTGATTGCTGTGCACAGCTGCACCAAATATTGCACTCTCCAGGTTTAGTAAATCAAGGCCAGAGTTTATTTTTGCTGTATACGTAGATGGGAGAAGCCATTTATACTCATTATAAATGCAGACTGTGCTGTATGCTTGGTAGTGCTGCACAATGTCTGTGCTTTATCCCTGCTTGGATGAAATTCCTCAGTCAGCTCTAGAAGAAATGGCTTATCCTTAAACTGATCTAAAGCCTGACTCTGGGTAGTGTGAATTTTAACCCTGCAGGTGGCGCTGTGTGTGAAACTTCCTGTGATGGCCACACATAATACTGGCCAGATGCAAGGGGTACCCATTTCATTTTGATGCACAGAGGTTAGAAGCAGATGGGGACCGCTCCTACTTTTGTGCGGTACATGTTACTCGTCTCGTCAACTAGCATTACCATAGTGAGTTGAGGCACTGGGTGGCCAAGGAGCTTGAAGATTCAAATGGTACCGCAGTAAGCCGACCTTGGCTAGCTGCTCCTTTGCCTCAGGCATTACACCTACATCCCACCTTTGGAAGTACCTTGACCCCTGGTACACCACATATATGCGGCTGAGCGGGCAGAGTTTTGCATGGGCAGGAGAGCCCATTCATTTGAATGGACTCCTGTGCCTGTGACACGCAGGGAAGAAGTCCCTGCACCTCTTCCGAAAACGCAACCCGCTCGGGAACCTCAGTTCCCAGTACGGTTGCTTTTTCCAGAACTAATGGCACCCGCCCACAGGTCCGCATTTCTCTGTGTGGGTGGTGCGGCTGCACGGATTTTCATGTGGATCCACAGCGCCACCACCCGCACAGATGTGATCCTAGGGTCAAGGTCTCTTGGAAAGCCTTCCGCAGCACTTCCATCTCTTCTGCTCCCTCCCCCACGATTCCTATTTTAGGCAACCCTGACTTTGCCCCAGGACTTGACAATAAATCTTTCTGTGTCTCAAAGTTAGCAGTTAAACTCATCTAACGGGCTTTCTGATGGGACTTTAACCTCTACGGACCTGACCAGTCTGGTGGATCCTCCCTTAGACTTCTGGGGAGGCATCCAACTCCAGAATTATTTCCGCTCGCTATCTCATACGCCAGGTATCAACTGCACCACTTTCAGCCTTTGAAGCATTGTGCCATAGGGGTGAACCGGTCTTTCATAGCCTTTCCTTGATCTGCTCATTTCTTGTCCAACCTGAGGCGGACTACACTCCCTCATTTCTCACTAAATGGGAGTTGGAACAGCGATTGTCCCTCACGACTGTGCAGAAGGAAACAATTTAGCATTTTGCTCAAAAATCGTCTATGGCCTCTAGGGTTCAAAAGACCTATTATAAACGTCTCACCAGATGGTACCAGGTCCTGACCAAACTCCACTGCATCTCCACGCAGATTTTCAAATGTTTGCTGGAGCTGCGGAGAAGAGACTGGCTACTTTCCCCATTTTTCTGGCAATGCCCCTATCTCCAGCTTTTTTGGCAGGGGGTAACTGGCATTATTAAGCAACTCACTGGTGTAGACCTCCATGATGACCCAGTGGCCTGCGTGCTGCATTTGTCAGGAAGACCCATCAAGAAATAGAAGACCTCTCAGCATTCAGTTGCTGAACATGGCAAAGGCCTGCATTCCGCTTTGTTGGAAGGATGTCAACCCCCCACATTGTCTCTGTGGTTCTCCAAGTTAAATGACCTTAGGGATATGGAGGGCTTCACAGCCACCCTGGATAATACTGAAGTGACCTTCCGGGAAACCTGGAGGCCTTGGCAAAACTTTGTCTTCACAGACATGTACCTAAATGAATTCTCCTTGCCTCAGTGAGCCAACCCCATCCTGGCTTCCTTTTGCCTCCCGGGAGAGGGTACCTGCCCCATCTTATTGATCTCATGCTTTTTCCTGACTGTTCTCCCTTCACGTCCCCCCCCCCCGTCCCTTCTTTGTTTTCTACCTCTCCTTGGTCCCTTCCCTTCTTCCCTTCCTCTCTGCTTTTTTATCCCTCCCTATCCTGTTGAACCTCCCCATCGATGATTATAACTGGATGTTCTATATCCTGTCTGCCCTCATCTGGACCGAACACCTCAGTTTCGTAGTTGGCATCGCTTCCCCTGCAGACTTTCCATGCCGGGAACTCTAAATAAAAAATAAAAAAAAATAAAAAATAAAAAAAAAAGCTCACTTTTATTTTTCTACTTAATGCTTTTACTATAATGGTAACTATCATCACTAGACTCTTTCCTGCTGCTCTGGACATCCCTCTGGTTACAAATAATACGGTGTTTACACAACCTCGTGCCTGTCCTACAATGGTAACGGCAGTCTGATCCACGCTGCTCGATGGCAATTGTATTCTTTTGTGTAATTTTCATATGACTTGCCTTTATTTGTAAACTGTTTTACTTTATTGTACAATAAAGGAATTACAAAATAAAACAAATAAAAAAAAAAAAAGCAGATGGGAATATCAATTTACAAATTAGATGTCTGAGATTGTTCCTGGGCAAAAGTTACATTGAGTGCCTGATAAATGAAGGTATTCGTTTTTGTTCCCTGTACGCAGGATATTAACAGCATTGCTGTATCTCCCAATGACAAGCTGATCGTCTCCGGCTCTCAAGACAAAACAGCCAAGCTGTGGTCAGCATCCGACCTATCCTTAATAGGGGTCTTCAGGGGACACAAGAGGGGCATCTGGTGTGTCCAATTTTCACCAGCAGACCAAATTGTAGCCACATCATCTGCAGACGGATCCCTGAAACTGTGGGGGCTGCAAGAGTTCAGTTGCTTGAAGGTAATGATGATTTGTTTATGCAGTCTGTGCAGATAAAGGGGGGGGATCACCCTCCTAGTGTTAGTTTATTTACAAAATTATACTGTGCCTGATGATCATTTCCCTGAACAGAAGTGCCCCGAGTTATTTGCTGCTTACCTAAAGATATGAATAAAGTTGGCGTGAATGTCTAACCAAAATTAACTGAAATCAACCATATATGTAGGAAGCAAAACTGAGAATGAACACGAGAGCTGTGCGCCTAACTACCCGCTCACAGAACCCCGTAAAAATGAACTTTTATGTAAACTGCAATAAAAGGTTAAAAAATAGCAATAATAATGAAAATAAAAAAAAAAAAAAAACATCAACAGGTAAGTGCTGGGAAAACTAGGAAGATACCTTCCAATGGAAACTTTTTTAACCACTTTCCTACTGGACACTTTTACCCCCTTTCTGTCCAGGCCAATTTTCAGCTTTCAGTGCTGTCTCAGTTTGACAATTGCGCGGTCATGCAACACTGTACCCATATAAAATTTTTATCATTTTTTTGTGACAGAGCTTTCTTTTGGTGGTATTTATTCACCTCTGGGATTTTTTATTTTTTGCTAAATAAACCAAAAACAGAAAATTTTGAAAAAAAAGTTTTTTCTTAGTTTTTGTTATAAACTTTTTGTTAAGTGATTTTTCTCCTTCACTGATGTGCGCTAATGAGGCTGCAGTGATGGGCACTGATAGGCTGCACTGATAGGTGGCACTGATGAGGCACTGATGGGCATTGACAGGCATCACTGATGGGCACTGAAAGGCAGCACTCTTATATGGCACTGACGGGCACTGATAGGCGGCACTGACGGGCACTGATAGGCGGCACTGACGGGCACTGATAGGCGGCACTGACGGGCACTGATAGGCGGCACTGACGGGCACTGATAGGCGGCACTGACGGGCACTGATGGGCGGCACGGGCGGCACTGATAGGTGGCACTGACTGGCTTTGATAGGTGTGTCCCTTCCCTCCAATAAACTCTCAGAGCTCTCCTCACTGAGCTCTGCAGGGGGTAATTTCAGCTCTCTGCCCCTTGTTTTCTGAACTCTCAGGCAAGTGTGATAAATTCAGCACTTTGAACGGATGTTGAACCAGAATACTTCAGATAAATGGGTACAACTCACGTGGAAGGATTTATTTAATCTCCTTGTGTCATCTGAGACCAGTCACTTCACTGGGTATATGTAAGGCTCCATGCACACTGGAAGCTATTATCAGCATATTTTGTTTCTCCTATGTGTCCATGTACACTACTTAACCCCTGGTTCACATATATGTGGGCTGTGTTTTGCTTGGGCACGAGAGCCCATTCATTTGAATGGACTCCTGTGCCCGGGACATGCAGGGAAGAAGTCCCTGCACTTCTTTTGGAAACGCAGCCCGCACAGGAACCTCGGTTTCCAATACGGTTGCATTTTCCAGTGTGGGCGGCGTGCCATTGGAACTAATGGCACTCGCCCGCGGATCTGTATTTCTCTGTGCGGGAGGTTCGCACGGATTTTCGTGCGCAGCCGCACGTTCACCCGCACATATGTGAACCTAGCCTTAGTCTATTAGCATTTTTTGAGCTGCAACTTGTAGGAGCAGAAAAAAAAATTGTGTTTTTTAGAATTTTTTGGAACATTTTTCCAGCAAAAAAAAAAGCTACTAAAAAATGCTTTTTTCTAGCTTTTTTTTTTTTCCTTTCCTCTACCTGTACTGTAAAAATGTTAGTAAAACACTAACGCTCCTAAATGCTTCTGAATGCTACTAAAAAACGCTATTACCAGTGTTTTTTTATCCAGTATTTTTCACAAAATTTTTTGAGTTTAAAAACAAAAACGCTAGTGTGCATGGAGCCTAAGGGTATACAACCCTTTTATCATTTGATTTTGTCCCCTAGCCTGTTTGACATGGCTGTGTACCAAGATATCACATAAGTTCTTTGTTCTACGGTGTGTAACAGATTGGGTACTAGGTGGACCGTCCCTCAAGTCCTTGTCATCTAAAAAGACTGGCCAGTATTTCCGTAAGATGTTACAAATCTCACTGGAATGGCGAGAATAGGTGCCAATCAGGTGCACTACATTGTTATCATCATTCCTATATTACTCACCAATAAAGTGTCTCTTGGTGCAGCTCTGGTCTTTGATCTTAATAGGTCCTTTGCAGGGTACCTGCTATCCCTAAATGTCACAAAGAGAGTTTTACACTCATTAACCCCGTGCCCTCCAGAGGATTTACCCCCCTTCCTGACCAGGCCATTTTTTGCGTTACGGCGCTGCATTATTTTAACTGACAATTGCGCGGTCATGCAGCGCTGCACCTAAATGAAATTTGGGTCCATTTTTTTTTTTCTCATGAATTGAGCTTTCTTTCGGTGGTATTTGGTCGCCTGTGCGTTTTTTTTTTTTTTTTTTTTTTGCGCTATAAGCAAAAAAAAACCCTACAATTTTGAGGAAAAAAAACTATATTTTGCAGTTCTTGCTATTAAACATGTCCAGTAAAAAAAATTTAAAAAATCAAATGTCATAAATTTAGGCCAAAATGTACTCTGCTCCATGTCTTTGCTAAAAAAAAATATCCCAATACGTGTAAATTAATTGGTTTATGTGACAGTCATAGCGTTTACAAATGGCGGTATAAATAATGGGATTTTTTTTTTTTCTTTTTCTACTAGTAATAGCAACAACCAGCGACTTTTAGCGGTACTACGACGGACATTCTAACACTGGGGGGGGACGACTAACTTGGTGTCACTGACACCCCAGTGACCAGTGCTAAAAAAAAAAAAAGCACTGACACAGTACTAATGGCACTGGGCAGGAAGGGGTTAATGTGAGGGGCGATCAAAGGGTTAACTGTGTACTGGGTGTGTTTTACTAGGGGGGCGGGGGGTGTGTGCTTCACTGCAAGAACACTTATTGGGATGGCTGTACTGTGCACAGCCATCCCGAGCAGTGTGCTTGAGCTGACAGGAAGGAAGATTGGAAGAAACAATCTTCCTCTCCGTCGGTGAACTCTGGTAATCACCGAGCGCCCGCGGGTAATTACCGGCCGGGACTCGGTGATTGACATCCGTGGCTGCGAATGGCCCCTACCCGGAAATGCAAAATGATGTGTATATATACGTGATTCTCTGCACAGGTGCCGCCCTGTAGCAGTATATCTGCTATAGGTCAGTCCTTAAGTGGTTAAGAAACTCACGCTGTGATGAGCAGTTCTGTCTTGCACATAGGAATTGTCTACTGGGAGTGCCACCTTTTAGGAATTTGGGGTGGTCAGTGGTGTTTTTTAGGTTTCGTTTAGCTTCCCTAGGTTTAGGTAGGCAACACAAAAATCGGCTCCCCCACCCACGCACGGACAGACCATAACATCGGCCAACACCCCCCTCCCCTACAAAGAGAGCCTGACATTGACCAACAACACCCCAGCCCCTACCCCTACCCAAGAGAGCCTTCCATACCACCACCCCCCATACACTGGCAACCCCCACCCCGGCAAGAGAGAAGACACTCACCTTCATAGCTCCGGACATTTCTGGGAACAAGAGTCAGGCTGTTCACAAACCATCAAGCAGACTGCAGTCTCTCAGATCCCATCTGGTCCCCATGCTACATGTGTCCCTTCTTCCATCCCTTCTTTTGGGGAAAAATACAGCTGCCCCCCTGAAAAATGCCGCCCTAGGCAAATGCCTTGTTTGCCTTGTGGTAAATACGCCCCTGGGGGTGGTGACTAGTCCAATGTAAAAGACTATTAGTGGTTGTCCATTTTTTTAAAATTGTAGTTTCAATTTGGCCATTTTCACCCCTACTTATCTCTATTATCACTCCTACTATGACCCTCAGATCCAGAAAGAACCTCCTGGATCTCGCTTGGAAAATAAAAAATAAATTACATTTTTTTTTTTTTAATTGGGAAAGGGGGGACTTCTACCTTTGTCTGGTGATTGGATTTAAAAATGAATCTTTCAGCTGAGGGCAAACCACCCTCATTTGTGATGGAAGAGACCACTACTGCATCCAGTGATCTAATTTCTCCGGTGCTTCACTGTGCCCTGGCAGCCCCTGATCCTTTGGATGCAGTTTTTTGGCCTTGACAGAATGCAGCTTTGGCATTAAATTCCACAATGCAATGCAAGAGCCCTGATGACCTATTGAGAGGCGCCTGTGTTGAATTATTGAATGTTTCCTGGTGGGATTTAAAAGCAGACTTTGTGCTTTATACAGGGTCACTTGCACATCGATGATTTTTGAAGCGCATTTGTCACCACCTTCACCCAACATCCCATCTCCTGTTGCTTCTGTGGACAGGACTCTTATTAGGTCATATATTACATCTGATTTTCTGACTTTCTTTTTTTTGTTTTTTTTTTGTTTTCAGACATTTGAAGGTCATGATGCCTCAGTGCTGAAGGTTATGTTTGTGAGTCGTGGCACACAGCTGGTTACAAGGTAAATGTCAGATTTTCTCTATGTGAGCAATGATTGCTTTTCCAAATCGTAGCATTAAACTGTTACTAAACCCAGGCCCTGCATTCACTATATCTGGTCTCCCCGGACCCTGACCCGGACCCTGCATTCACTATATCTGGTCTCCCCGGACCTGCATTCACTATATCTGGCCTCCCCGGACCCTGCATTCACTATCTCTGGTCTCCCCGGACCCTGCATTCACTATCTCTGGTCTCCCCGGACCCTGCATTCACTATCTCTGGTCTCCCCGGACCCTGCATTCACTATCTCTGGTCTCCCCGGACCCTGCATTCACTATCTCTGGTCTCCCCGGTCATTCACTATCTCTGGGTCTCCCCGGACCCTGCATTCACTATCTCTGGTCTCCCCGGACCCTGCATTCACTATCTCTGGTCTCCCCGGACCCTGCATTCACTATCTCTGGTCTCTGGTCTCCCCGGACCCTGCATTCACTATCTCTGGTCTCCCCGGACCCTGCATTCACTATCTCTGGTCTCCCGGCCTGCATTCACTATCCTGTCTCCCCACCCTGCATTCACTATCTCTGGTCTCTGGTCTCCCCGGACCCTGCATTCACTATCTCTGGTCTCCCCGGACCCTGCATTCACTATCTCTGGTCTCCCGGACCCTGCATTCACTATCTCCGGTCTCCCCGGACCCTGCATTCACTATCTCTGGTCTCCCCGGACCCTGCATTCACTATCCCCGGACCCTGCATTCACTATCTCCGGTCTCCCCGGACCCTGCATTCACTATCTCCGGTTCCCGGACCCTACATTCACTATATCTCGTCTCCCCGGACCCTGTATCCACTATATCTGGTCTCCCACAGTACACAGAACATGGAAATGCAATTATGTTAGTAAATATAAACTGCTAAATACCTTTTCTCATCAGCAGTATATGGCAGTATTGTGACTTCTGTCAGTGTCTGGCTCAGGAGGAGTTTTCATTCTCCCCTGATTGTCCTATGAGGCTGCATAACCCATGACCCTCTGTCTGAACAGTGCTGATTGGCCCTGTGCTGATCACATGCACTCTCCCAAATAAAAAAAAAAAGGGGGAGGATCATAGAAGACAGGATCAAACAGCCTTTTTACACAATGCAGAGGATTAACCCCTTAGGTTCCACAGTGAGTATAACAAGCATGCTTTACTGCATATACAGACTGATTGTACTGTTGTGGGTTTAGTAACACTTTAATAAGCAACCCAACCTAATGCAGGCCATAGACGGGTCGTTTATCGGCCGATTTTTCATCCGCACGAAAAATCGGCCGATATTCACGCCGTTATTGGGGCCCACTCGGCCGTTTTTCATGGATCGTCTCGTTTACTTTTATCGGTCATGCTGGAAAATCCACAAAAAAACGGCCGTGGCAGCATCGGCAACGGCGCCGACCGATTTTTCATTTATTGTCCGACAATTTGGCCGATAAACAGCCCGTCTATGACCTACCTAACTCAGATTTGTCAGTTTTGAGTGGAATGGTTCCTTGATTACTTGAACCACCAATATAGCCCCGTCAGGCTCAGCTGGGCTTTTCAGCAAGTAAATTATTCCTGTTCTTCTATGGAAAAATCCACCGAGGTGCACTTGATGCAGAATTTCTGTGGCCTGTAGTGGATTCTCTATAGGAATATGTGGAGAATGTGTTTTTTTTAGCTGTGACAGGGGGAAGTTGTTCTGTAGTATGGAGTGGTCCTTCTATGTCAGAAAGGATTCATACTACTCACACTGAGAACCACTATCATTTCCCAGGGGCAGATGCACCAATATACTATTCACTGGTAGGAGCAGCGCAACACCTTTTTATTTTAATATTTTATTTTTTGTATATTACATTGTTTGAGGGACCATCCCTTCCGTCACTCCAAGTCCAAGCTGGGAATTTTGTTGTGCTCAATTGCTTTTTAAAGCGAATCTGTGACTTTGGTATGGTAATGGCATAACTTTGTTCCTGTCCTCAGTGGCTCCGATGGCCTGCTGAAGCTCTGGACCATCAAGACAAATGAGTGTGTCAAGACATTGGATTCCCATGAGGACAAAGTGTGGGGACTGCACAGCAACAAACTGGACAACGCTTTAGTGACCGGGTCTGCGGACTCCAGCATTATTCTTTGGAAGGTGGGAGAGTTGTCAGATTTGTGTTACTGATCATGTATTGGGTGTCACCAAGGCTTTTCAAAGTTACAGTGAACATTCAGCCTAAATCATTCACAGTACATTCCAGGTGCATCAAACAAAAGGTTTGTAAAGTCTTAGGCTAAGTTCACACTAGCTTTGTCAGCAGGCATCAGACAGGCATTTGGGAAGCGCTTTTAACGCTTCTCAAGCATCTATGAAAATTCTGCACATGGCAGCACACAGTGCTGTTCACACTGAAGCGTTAGCATCGCGGCAAAACTGGCGCCTTGTGTCGGGTCAGGAGGAGTTGAAGCCTCCCATTCAAGTCTCTGGTGACGCTCCTCAAACTGTGAAGCGAAAACAAAGAGCGCACCAACCTTGCGCATTTCCTCAGTGAGCCAAAAATGTATTAATTACAGAATAATACTCACAAAGACTGAAGTATATCATGCATGTAAGTCCTCAAAGGGACTAAGGATAAACGCAGCCTGCACGAGTCCCATCAGAGGTTGGATGCTCAGGGACCAGCTGACGCGTTTCGAAGGACGAACCTTCTTCATCAGAGCTTGCAAGCTCTGTCCACTCCTCTGATGGGACTCGTGCAGGCTGCTTTTATCCTTCGTCCCTTTGAGGACTTACATGCATGATATACTTCAGTGTTTGTGAGTATTATTCTGTAATTAATACATTTTTGGCTCACTGAGGTAATGCGCAAGGTTGGTGCGCTTTTCGTTTGTTTTGGCTTCACAGTATTGGTCAGGCTTCCCCAGCCTTGTTTGGAGCTGCACAACCCATAATGCACTGGTGGTAGAAACTTCCAAATCCTGACTCCATCTACCTACCCCGTGTTGGGTCATAGAGCGCAAGAGAGTTCGTTTTCTTGCCGCTCCTCAAACACCTGGCAGGCGTTTGCGGTTGTGGAGCGTTAATACCGTTTAACTTCATTATAGGCATTTGTGGTGCGGTTTTTAATGCTTGGCAAACGCCTATCAAAAGCCTTAAAACTGCATATAGGGCGTTTGGGGAGCGTTTTTAATGCTCCTAAAACGCTCCCCAAACGCCTGTCTAATGCCTGTCAAACGCTATAGGGGTGTTTGGCAAGAGTTAGAAATAAAGTCAAGTGTGAACGAGTCCTTACTGTTTTCTTTAGAAAGCAGCCACAGCCTGAGAAGAAAAGCCTGTCCCTTAGGGCTCGTTCACACTTGACTAATTTCTAACGCTTACCAAACGCCCCTGTGGTGTTAGACAGTCATTTCGGAAGCGTTTTTAATGCTTCTCAAACGCTACCCAAACGCCCTACGTGAGTTTCTGAGGCGTTTGGATTGATAGGTGTTTGCCAAGCGTTAAAACCTCACCACAAGCTGTTATCGTGAAGTTTAATGGTATTATTGCTCCGCAAACGCCTGCCAGGCATTTGGGGCGTGTCACCATAGACTTGATTGGGAGGCTTCAACGCCTCCTGACTGGATATGAGGCGTCAATTTTGCCGCAATGCGAGTGCTTCAGTGTGAACAGCACTGTGTTCTGCCATGTGTAGCATTTTCATAGGCGTTTGAGGAGCGTTAAAAACTCTTCCCAAACACCTGTCTAACACGTACTGACAAAGCTAGTGTGAACTTTGCCTTACTAGCATGCAGGGGCAGACTGACCATTTGGAAACTCGGGCACTGCCCGAGGGCCCAGGGTCAGTAGGGGGCCCCATGAGATGCCCCTGGTACCTTTTTTTTCATAGGCTTTTTTTGAGCTTGGGCAAGGACACAGGCCCCATGATCCCCTGTTCCCCGGGGGTCCCATGAGTTGTCAGTCCACCCTTGCTAGCATGCTGTAGAGAGAAGGACCCTTAGGACCAGTTTACTCCACACAAGACGTGGATGCATTCCAGATACATTTTTGCTTACAGTTCACACCACAAAAACTCACTGTGGATGCATTTCTGCATGTGCATTTTTAATGTGTTTTTGATGCATTCTTAATGCTCTGAAGCTTTTTTTTTTTTTTTTTTTTTTCTCCTTTTTTTTCTATTTTTAAAGGTTTCCCGGGTTTTTTTCTGCTGTAATGCATTCCAGTGCGTTTTTGATGTGTTTTTCCGTACTTCAGTGCAGAAAAAATGCAGCATGTTCTAATTATTTTTGACCGCACTGGAATGCACTGCACTGGTGCGAATGATGCCATTGGAACCCATATAACCTACCGTCTATGCGTTTTTGATGCAGGAAAAAAAAAACAATGGGCTGCATATGGTGTGAATCAGTCCTGACTGTGTGAAAGCACTAGTCTCTCTGTAAATGGCCAAGGCACCATCCATGAGTCAGTGCTAAAAGCTCTGGAATCAGCAGGACACATGGGCTTTGCTGATTGCAGCTCTGACTCAACAGGGAATGTGCAAAAAGATCTCCTTCTTACAAAGAAAGAAAGAAAGAAAGAGAAAAAATGGCTTGTTTAGCATTTTTTTATATACTTTAAACTCTCATGAGCAATAATGACAGGTCAAGGGGCTCTGCCCGAGGCCCGGGGTCAGTAGGGGGCCCTATGAAATGCCCCTGGTACCTTTTTTTTTTTTTTTTTTTTTTTTGTTTTGTTTTGTTTTGTTTATAGGCTTTTTTGAGTGTGGGCAAGGACACAGGGGCTCCATGATCCCCTATTGCCCGGGGGCCCCATGAGTTGTCAGTCCGCCCCGGGACAGGTCCATCCATTTATAGAAATATCAAGTTCCTCTAATGTAGCAGACCCCTTGTAGAAACAGTGAACAGTGGCAATAACCTGTTCCTTTATTCCCAGGATGTCACAGAGACAGAGCTGGCTGAAGAACTAGCTAAAAAGGAGGATGAGATCTTGAAGTAAGTGCACTCCTGACGTGAATGGCATCTTTTAGATTGCTCCCCGATTACTCGTATTCTAACATGGTCTCTGTTTCTCTCCTGCAGACAACAAGAGCTGTCAAATCTTTTACACGAGAAGAGGTTCCTGAAGGCCCTGGGCCTGGCCATTACCCTAGACCAGCCGCACACCGCACTCACCGTTATAAAAGGTGGGCCCCCAGGAAAATTTTCTTCATGAATATATAATTTTGGAAAGGAAGTATTTCAACGTGTTCCTTTTTAAAAGAAAATTTAATCTTGTAGTTTTAGCGGTCTTCTCTTGACCAGTAAAGATGCCAATTCATGCATGAATCAGGTTTTCATACCATCACTTGTTAGTTTTGGGACCTTCCTTTTGTTTGTAATCCTGTGTTGGGTCAGGCAAGCCGAGTCCAGCATCTCACAGCCTATATCTCCTTAAAAATATGATGCCCCTCCAAGACAAGAGCTTTTACAGCTGTTTATGAACACTGCTCTGTCAGCCCCGCCCCTGGCATGGCGCACTGTCAGCGCCCTCCGGCCCCCCCCAGCCCCCTTGGCGCACTGTTAGCCCCCCCCCCCAGCATGGCGCTCTGTCAGCCCCCCCCCCCCCCCGGCATGGCGCTCTGTCAGCCCCCCCCCCCCCCCCCCCGGCATGGCGCTCTGTCAGCCAGCCCCCCCCCCCCCCCCCGTCATGGCGCTCTGTCAGCCCCCCCCCCCCCCGGCATGGCGCTGTCCCCCCCCCCCCCCCCCCGGCATGGCGCTCGGTCAGAGCCCCCCCCCCCCGGCATGGCGCCTCGGTCCCCCCCCGGCATGCTGCTCGGTCAGCCCTCATATCAGTGCGGTATATGAATATGGAGCAACTAATCGAAGAAAGCCGTACCTCACTTTTTTCCCTTTAGCTTCAAAAAATGGTTTGCCACTTGGACAGATTTATACCCAAACTGAAGCATGTTAAGTGGGACTGCACTCTGCATTACTCCTGACCCCTGCACTCTGCATTACTCCCCCCTGCACTCTGCATTACTCCTGACCCCTGCACTCTGCATTACTCCTGACCCCTGCACTCTGCATTACTCCTGACCCCCCTGCAGTCTGCATTACTCCTGACCCCTGCACTCTGCATTACTCCCCCCCTGCACTCTCCATTACTCCTGACCCCCTGCAGTCTGCATTACTCCTGACCCCTGCAGTCTGCATTACTCCTGACCCCCTGCACTCTGCATTACTCCTGACCCCCTGCACTCTCCATTTACTCCTGACCCCCTGCAGTCTGCATTACTCCTGACCCCCTGCAGTCTGCATTACTCCTGACCCCCTGCACTCTGCATTACTCCTGACCCCTGCACTCTGCATTACTCCTGACCCCCTGCACTCTGCATTACTCCTGACCCCCCTGCACTCTCCATTACTCCTGACCCCCTGCAGTCTGCATTTTACTCCTGACCCCCTGCAGTCTGCATTACTCCTGACCCCCTGCACTCTGCATTACTCCTGACCCCCTGCACTCTGCATTACTCCTGACCCCCTGCACTCTCCATTACTCCTGACCCCTGCAGTCTGCATTACTCCTGACCCCCTGCAGTCTGCATTACTCCTGACCCCCTGCAGTCTGCATTACTCCTGACCCCCTGCACTCTCCATTACTCCTGACCCCCTGCAGTCTGCATTACTCCTGACCCCCTGCACTCTGCATTACTCCTGACCCCCTGCACTCTGCATTACTCCTGACCCCCTGCAGTCTGCATTACTCCTGACCCCCTGCAGTCTGCATTACTCCTGACCCCCTGCAGTCTGCATTACTCCTGACCCCCTGCAGTCTGCATTACTCCTGACCCCCTGCAGTCTGCATTACTCCTGACCCCCTGCAGTCTCCATTACTCCTGACCCCCTGCAGTCTGCATTACTCCTGACCCCCTGCAGTCTGCATTACTCCTGACCCCCTGCAGTCTGCATTACTCCTGACCCCCTGCAGTCTGCATTACTCCTGACCCCTGCAGTCTGCATTACTCCTGACCCCCTGCAGTCTGCATTACTCTGACCCCCTGCAGTCTGCATTACTCCTGACCCCCTGCACTCTGCATTTACTCCTGACCCCTGCACTCTGCATTACTACTAATCCTGCAATCTGCATTACATATTACTGACACTTGCAATTGGTGTTACATACCACTGACCTCTGATTTCTGTTTTACTACTGATCCTGCATTCTGCAATATGTACTCCTGACCCCTGCACTCTGCATTACTTCTGACCCCTGCAATCTGCTTTACTGACACTTGCAATTGGTATTACATACTACTGATCCCGCATTCTGCAATACATACAACTGCACTCTTCATTACTTACTACGGACTCCTTTTTACACTGACACTTGTACTTTTTAATGGGGTCTTGCTAGGTTATCTCCTTAAAAAAAAAAAAAGAAAAAAAGGCAGAATACCCTGGAGATCTTTGATCTTTCATGTTGTTCAGGTAGATCCAAGGTTGCAGATAACAGTGAAATTTTTTTTTTTTTTAAATTTTGTACTCCCTACTTCACCATAGATGAGAAAATGAACGAAAGTTGCGTCAATCGTTGGATTGTTTGCTTTTAAAATCATTAGTGTACCAACTGCAACATGCAATTTTTGTGCCTCAATTAAAAGTGCCTGATCCAACATGTTGGTGTTTTTTTGTTTTGTTTTTTGTTTTTTTTTTTTTTTTTTAGAAAATCAAAAAAATTGATGGCACAATCGTAGGATCTATTGTCATTGTTCGATTGAGAGAACTTTAGTTTTTCGACTCGTCAGTGCCCTGCTTAAGGAGAACCCTAAACAATGTTGCTTAAATGTTTAGCTAGCCCTCCTGTTACAGCGAGAGCAGGCCTTTTACTCTGCCAGAAGCATTGGTTACGGCCCAGGAAGGCTCTAATCTTACTATTTCTGATTAATCTGTTTAATTTTAGCCATCCTTCAGGAACCTCAGGGGAAGGATGATTTGGAGAAAAACCTGCTGAGGTTACGCAACGACCAGAGAGGTAAGGGAGAGCCTAATTGTGTATATAGGAGCTCCATGCCTCGAATACTTGACATAGGAGCTGTATTTGTTCAGTTTTCATCTGCAATGTGTTGTAGCTGTAAATGGGGTGTGGGGGCACAAACACAATATGAATTTTAGAAATAAAACGCAGCTGACACCCAGTGTTAGGACTCCAAGGTCCTTTGGCACCCAAAGCGAAAAGGTCAGAGCAGGGGCGGACTAACCATTTGGAAACTCTGGCACTGCCCGAGGGCCCGGGGTCTATAGGGGGCCCCATGAGATGCCCCTGGTACCTTTTTATCGGCTTTTTTTGAGTTTGGGCAAGGATACAGGGGCCCCATGATCCCCTATTGCCCGGGGGCCCCATGAGTTGTCAGCCCGCCTCTGGGTCAGAGTATGCTCCCATGAGCTGCAAACTTCCTCCGCAGCATAGGTTGCAGACCTTGCCCCTTTTTGCATTTTAACTTCCATCTAAGGTGGCTGCTCCTCTTACCTACCTACCTCTGGGCCCAGCACTGCGGACACCTGGACATTTGAAGGTTTGTGTAAGGTTTAGGGCACAAAGGAAGTGACAGATTTACATTGAAGTTGTCAGAACTGTGAGATGTGATTGGCAGAACTTTTCTGTACTTTGCCTTTGTGTTTGATAACATATCCCCCGGTGTATTAATATAAAACAGTGACGTAAGCTCCCAGGATCAGGCCCTCCTAACCCTCTTGTATTGAACTGTATTGTTGCTGTATTGTCTCCCGTTATATTGTAAAGCGCTGAGCAAACTGTTGGCGCTATATAAATCCTGTATAATAATAATAATAATAATAATATATAAATCCTGTATAATATATCATAATAATAATAATATATAAATCCTGTATAATATAATAATAATAATAATAATATATAAATCCTGTATAATAATTGTTGGTGCTATATAAATCCTGTATAATAATAATAATATATAAATCCTGTATAATAATAATTATATAAATCCTGTATAATAATAATAATATATAAATCCTGTATAATAATTGTTGGTGCTATATAAATCCTGTATAATAATAATAATAATTGTTGGCGCTATATAAATCCTGTATAATAATAATAATAATTGTTGGTGCTATATAAATCCTGTATAATAATAATAATAAATTGTTGGCGCTATATAAATCCTGTATTATAATAATATAAATCCTGTATAATAATAATATTATATAAATCCTGTATAATAATAATAATAATTGTTGGCGCTATATAAATCCTGTATTATAATAATAATATAAATCCTGTATAATAATAATAATAATAATCTATAAATCCTGTATAATAATAATTGTTGGTGCTATATAAATCCTGTATAATAATAATAATAATTGTTGGCGCTATATAAATCCTGTATAATAATAGTAATAATTGTTGGCGCGATATAAATCCTGTATAATAATAATAATAATGTATACCTTCCAGGATAATTTGCAACATGTAATGTGAATATAGACATTAGAGGCTCATAGTCCAATCCCTTTAATATTGGCACAATCCTGCTGTGTTTCTGCTGTCCATTGTTCTTTCCAGAAGTTAGGGGGTTAGCTTGGCAGTCATACTGTACATAGACCGCATGGGAGCTGGCACATTTTGGTGTTTTTGTAATGATTTAATCCTCATGTACTTCCTATCCCACATTATCAGAAGCCATCCTGAGATACTGCACCATCTGGAACACAAATTCTCGGAACTGTCATGAGGCGCAGTGTGTACTGAACATCTTCCTCACCCACGTATCGCCCGATACTCTGCTCCAGTATAGCGGCATTCGAGGTACCGTGGAAGCACTGATCCCCTACACAGGTGAGAACCCACTAATATGTCACATTTAGTGAAGTTGTCTTTTACATATACAGGTGTACCTCGGTTTACGAATTTAATGCGTTCTCCGGGACGTTTCGTATTGCGAAAAATTCATAAACTGAAATGTGATTTCCTATAGGAATGCACTGAAAACCAATAAATCTGTTCCGAAGGTCAGAAAAAAAGTAAAATAAAAGTCTCTGTCACTATAGGTCAGTGCCGGTTTGTTTATTTCCCTGAGTTGAAAGAAACAATGTTTCTTTTTAATTTATTTCCTGAGTTAAAAGAAACAAAGTATCCTTTAGCTCTGGGGAAAGTGACAGCTAACTCTGTGAGCTATAGTAAAAGAAAAT